GGAAAGAGATTATAAAAAGACACTAGAATACACTCTACATTCATATAGACAGTGGCGCCCTCAATAACAAGAAAATATGTGAATCTAACCCCACCATGTGAACACCATGTCCCATATGTACACTTTGAAAAACTTATGTTCATACATGTATGTATGTGTTGATTGTACGCACTTTCATTGGGTACTGTGTCAAAGTAAATACGGGTATATAGCAGAGAGTCTATAAAACATTAGCAGGGAATACATAGCATATAAGGTTGGAATGAATCATGTCCGTATACAGCTGCAGAGAAAAAAATAGTACTGGGTTGCAGAATAGATCAACATTTATGGCCATCAGTAACCGATTCTGCCATGGTAATTGTACAAAAGATTCCATGACATTGTGTGTGTGTGTGTGTTCTTATATGCGCACTTCATTTTATCGATATCTTGAATTTATTGCAAACAACGAACTTTTTTTATATCAAAATATGAGCAAACAAAAATATCTGGCATTTTTGTTGTGTAATATTAGAAACTTGGCAAAGGAAAGGAAAAACTCCATCGAACTATGATTGTAAGTGTGGTGAGCACTTAAAAAAATCGCCAAAACTTACATATGTTTGGTACATAGCGAACTCTAGTAAAATATAAACATACCTACCTACATATGCAATAGTATCGTGAAGTATCAGAGTATTCCACCACGAAATCATGTTATATAGTGTATGATACATGCGAGAGAAAGAGAGATTCGTTGGATTTTATGTCTTTTCATATCTGTTTTCTTTTTCTCTGTTGTTGTTTTTTTTATTTCGTTTCATTCAGATTCACTCTTCGGTTCGCCGTGTATATAAATCATGCATTATTCATTTTTGTATGCATAGTCTCCGGCTGGGTACCGATAAATCCGAACGAAACAACCGAAAAAGCAACGGCGACAACAATTACAACAACAAAAGACCATAAATGACGAATGGCAAGCAAAATTTATAGCTGAAGACAGAAAAAGCATACAAAAAAAGAGAAAATACGAAAAAGAAATAATGATTTTTTTTTTGTTTTTATTACGAACAAATAGAACAGCACCGAACAAATATATAGTTGTGCAAATATTTCCATCAATGTAATTGTGTGCTGTATGCAATGTGTATTTGTATGTATTGTAATTGTTGTTGATGTGTTAGTCTTTTTATATAAAATGCAGCTATTTCTTTTTAGCTATTTTTCTTTCTTTTTCAGTTCACCTCGCTTGATGCGGGCTCCTTCAAGCACTCACTAACCTTTGAAACTTAAGTCTCTTTTCATTGCTTGTTGTTTTCATTTATTGGTACCTCTTTATAAAAAAAAATATATAACTTTGAAACTTCGTTAACTCTCTATGATCCTCTTGGGTAAGGCCGCGTTTTGTCTTGAGCACAAAGTGATGACCTTTCGCGCCTGGATCTATGTAAACTTCATGATGCCCTTACATACATACATACATATATATATCTGTCGTAAACTGGTTGACCTCGATAACATTGTTTAGAATGTTTCTACCAAAAAATCTCCCTGGATGCTATGACATTGTTGTTTATTACTAATTTTGATGTTATATGCTTCACAAAAACAATATCAACGGTATTCATCTGAAATTGTCGTTGTATAAGTTCGTGGGCTTTGTTTTGATGTGGCCCATGTTATTTAATTAGCCATTTTGATTTTATTTTTATTCTCATTTTATTTTTGGATACCTTTGTTCGAGACTTTATGGCTTTAAATGTGCAAAAATTTGTATAAATTTCTTTATTGATTTTCATATCATTCATTTTCGTATATGTGCCTCTCAATACCAATTAAATTAATGAGTTGAATGCATGTTTGACTGCAAGTTCAAAATTATAAATGCTCAAAGGGATTTTCAATGGGTTTGTTATGTACAGTGTACACATCTATCTACTCAATACGTGGCTGCTTTTTTTCGAATGTAATTAATTCTATGTACTTTCCGGCGATTTGAGTATTAGTCTGGCTGCGTATATATTACACAGCGTCATCATAAAGTGAACGGTACATTAATTACCCTTTATATAATGGCTCATTCAAAAATAAAACTTAGACATCATTCGATGAATTTTATTTGACATTTCGAAATCAGATGACCTTCATTTGTGATAGAAAAAATGTAAATTCACAGGCGACTAAAGTAATTTAAAACATTGCGAAACGATGGCATTTAAAAAAATGTAATAAAGTTTTTTCCATATAAAATTCGATTGTAAAATTTTCCGCATCATTTCAATTTTGGTAGATGGCGCTATTTCGGATACTTGTTCCAAAGTTCATGTTTTTTTTAATTGATTTCAAAGTTCATAAAAATTAAAAAGAAACCTTTGATCGGATTACGGAGTTTTTCCTGGAAAACTAAGAAGAAGGTCTGATGAAAGGGATGATCCGAAAATTTGTTACCTACATCAATTTCGTGGAAACAATTGCCGGTAATTAGCCGAAAGACAATCGTTTGGAACAGAGCAATTTAAGGAAAAAATTTAATGGCTACAGGAGTCATTTGGTTTCACATACATTGTTTGTCGTGTAAACACAAGCATTGTACTTTTTGCTTGCATTTGCAATTTCAACGCGCTTGATACAGCATCAGCTTGAAATCCGAGTCATGCTTCGCTCTCATGTTATGCATACTCGATCGAATAGACTAAACAAATGATTTTGGCATTCTTTTTTTTTCAATTTCAGGATAAATTGCATGCAGCAAACTCCACACATTCTTTTATCTCATTTTTTCATTTTTTGCTCGTTGAAATTTTGCTACGATCGAATAAAGCAAAAACAAATTTATGAGTTTCAAACCATAAAGCGCATAGTTGAGCTGGCATTTTTAAATAGAATTCCAAATATAACGACCACGAAAAAAAAAATCGAATTTCGCAAATATCTGAACATTGCGAAAAAAAACTTGTTTTAACTGAGTTGAAATTCTGCGCATAGTGACTACAACAGAGTAGTAAAAATTTATGAAATTTTCCATAATCGAATTTTCTTAGGATGATTTTCAGTAATCTTGTAGGAGGAGTTCACCTTTTACACTATCATTATTACGTTGATAAGAACAAAAGTATAAAGATTTAATATCAAACGCAACAATGAGGAACGTGATCAACATCGCACGTTTTTTTTTTCATTGACCTTTTCTATTTGGTCCTCGCAAGTGGCAGAGACTAAAGTGGAAAATGTGCACACTTGCCAAATTGAGGCGTCATACAATGCATTCAATTGTGTTTTCGCTGGTAGCAAGCATGATAAATGAGAGTGTTCAAGAGTAATGCCGTTGAGGAATGTATCATAATCAAACATCGTGAGAACACCACATTGATTGAGAAAGGTATAATGAAATCGGAAATTCAAATGCATAGTTGGCCATGGAATTTCAATGAAAATTTTGCGGATCTCATTTCTGGTTATGCTTTGGGCGATGTTTGAAACTGTGTTTATACTAAAATCAAATATAACTGGATTTTAGTTTTGATACCAGCAACAAAAGCAATGGCAGCAACGACAAAATCGGAACCGAATTTGACCGAATGTACAGCATTGAGCTAGGGCATTCTAAAAGTGCTTTTAGTGCCGGTTCTATCTGTAAAAATCTATGACATTATGATATAAATATAAATATATGTATAGATGTGAATATAGTCAGCGCGTTATTTTAAGGTACATAAGCTCCAAAATATATTTCGTATGTGGCCACTCTTATATACAGCATGGGTGCACTTGTGTCGCGCGTTCGTTGTATTGAATGAGTGAGCGTGAGCATATCTTTCGAAATGATCTAAATAAAAAAAAATGAAATATAATTTCATAAATAATGTATGAAGTTGGCCTCTTGAGAACACCCATACAATGAAGAATTTAGCAATATGCGATAGCAAGACCTGAATATCGAGGAAGAGAGACAGAGAAGAAGAAAAAAGAATGGTATGAGATCCAAACGGAAAATTGTGTTGAGATCGCCCGCCAAATGATTTGGTACATTTTGTAGAATAATAAGTAACAAGAGCAAAGACGTTGTAGAGACAGAGCAGCGGGAACCAAAGCTATGCCGTATCGTACGCGCTCATCAACTGCATGAACAAGACAAAACCGTGTATATAGTGAAATTAAAAAAAAAATATATGTACTGTACACAAAAAACAACAACAATCTTGCACTACCTAATAAGCGTGTACACACACACAATGATGCGGACACGCAAGTCCGCAATACCGCAATACATCCACACCATACATATATATAGTGAGCTCCATTTGCAATATTACTTGGTTATGTATTTGTACATAAAATCGTGTACATACACTAAATTATGGACTGTGTGTGTTAGAAAAAAAAGGTACCGAACAACAGCAATGTACGTAGCTGAGCCAAGCATGTCATTTATCGGGGCCTCGATTGAGACTCGATTTTTTTAGAGTAACACATATCAATAGTCTTATACGACTGTTCGGCAGAAATGCACACACATCAGTCGTATTTTATCTGAGTGTGAGGAAAGATCCCGACTTTGAAAATCATCCAACGCCAAGAATGAAATTTAGGAGAAATTACTCTCATTTCTGCCTTTTAAATGCAATTCAATCGACAAATTAGCTGAATGAAAAACTATTTCGATCTTTATGTTTTGAGACTATTTTTTTTCATCAAATTTTTAATTAAAAACAAAAACAATATCGAAAAGCGTAAACATTATTTGCTATTCGCGTAAATACTTCACTCAGTAGGCTAAAAAGGTGATCGTATTTGCTATCGATTTCAATATCAATACGTTCATCAATTGAAAACTAAAAAAAAATTGTGACTTGAAGTTAAAAGTATAGTGAAAAATTTGGGATAAATTCAAGTTGAAGCAAAAAAGACAAAAACTGTGTTGAATACGTTAGTCTTTTTTGAAATGAAAATTTACAGTTTTCGGTGAAGAAAAAAATTTAGCCGCAACTTCATTTTGACAACAAATATTTAATTTGGATAAAAGTGTATGTGAATAATGTTTATGGAGCGGAAACTTATAATAAAGAAAGCAGTATCAACATAAAAGCAAAACTCTCGAATCAAATTTCTCATTAGTAGTGAAATAGACGGACGGACAGACCATTGTCGATGTCTCTTTTTATGCTGAATAATTTCTAAGAAAACGTGATTGCTCGGTATGTCCCCGATTTTGGTCTTTCACCATCGTCATTCCTAAGCTGAATCAAAGTGAAAGACATCCATACGCATCGTAAGTGTTGTTGTTGCTGTTGATATCGATTCCGTCCAAATTTGTTTTGATGTGATGTCATCACAAGTGGATATACCCTCGTATTTACGACAGTTGTCGAGCTACGACACAACCGTTAATTTAACCATGTCGTCACAGAATAAAGTAAAAGAAGAACGACACGACGACGCCGAGATTCATGAAATGGCCGAAAAGATGCGTGAAACCTATAAAATGCAAACAGCCAAAAATGCCGCAACACAACAACAAATGGCCAATCGTCTACCAAACGCATCCGCATTGCCCGGTGGTCAATCGAGTATGATGAACTATATGGTGCGAAAAAATAATACAATGCCATCATCAACAATGTCAAACAGTAGTAATGCAATGTCACAATTACAAATGCAATCGAATGCCGACAAAATGAAACAAACAAATGATAATGGTGCTGGTAGCTCAGAAAATGGTGAGAAGAAACCATGTGATGATGGAAGTCAACGTGGTCATTTTGGTTGGGCAACATTTGGAAAGATTCACATTCCATATATATTGCGACAGGGTGAAAAATATTGTGCTGTACGAATGGTTGAAAATAAACTGCTTAACAAGTATCTTCATCATTTGCATCAGGACATTTACAGTTGTACATGTGTTCGCAGTTACTACATTACAGAATGTGAAAGTCGACTACTCAATGAAATCAATCACAAACATTGTGATTCACAAGTAAGTAAAAATTTCATTATGCACATGTGTGTGCATTTCATAGCAGAACTGCGATAACTTATCATAAATGTGTTCAATCTTAATGATGTCAGTCAGTTTTATTGGATGTGTTTTTTTTTGTTAAGAAATCTTTCTATAGCACATAGACGCTAATTATGCATCTTTCTTTTTAGTTTGGCCGTGAAATGTTTACGTTGAAAGATTTGGTGGTGCGTTTAGCTGATGCAAATAAATTCTTTCAATTTTTGGATGTATGTTATAAAAAATTGTTGATGGGCAGCAGTGGACCATCGGATAAATGTGGATTCATTCGTATAAATAAAGAATCGGTTGTACCGTATACAGTGCGAGATGGCCAACAATTTGTACCGTTATTTTACTTTGAAGGTGAAACGGACAATTTGAAATTGAAAGCCGACTATTTGTCCGGTTGGGATTTGTCATATTTAAAATTTTGTTGCAAAGTGCAGGGCATACGAAATGAATTGTTTGCCAGTGATTCAGTAGCAGTGATTAGTTTAACCGATATTAAAAGTTACTTTCCCGTCGGCACCGAATTTGAAGACTATTGGCCCAGCAAAGTTGTGGAAAATCAATTATTAATTGGATCAAAACCAAATGGAAATTCAGTACAATGGACACGCCAACCAAGTCATCCACCGCCAAAAGTACCAAATCCTCAAATTCAAAAAATGAACGAAGCACGCAAAGCCAATGCTTATGCAAATCGACTTGCACAACAGGTAATTATCGATACACTACAGTACAAGTTCATAAATCTTAACAATCACATAAAAAAAAGAGAAAAAACGAAACAAAAAAACAACAACTGACGTGATTTTTAATTTTCTATTTTCTCAGCAAGCAGCAGCTCAACGTGCCGCACAACAACAACAGCAGCAGCAACAGCAGCAGCAACAACAACAGCAGCAACAACAACAACAACAGCAGCAACAACAGCAACAACAACAATTACAACAAAGCCTATCATCATCATCAAATTCGCAAAGTTTTGCGGCAGCTGTTCAGGTAAGCCCAATCTTTTTCAATGCTCTGCTTCACAATTTTTTTCCCAAATTATGACTATAACATATTCACTGAATATTGATTTTGTTTATACAGGCGTGGCAAAACTTGGGCGGAATCAATAATATGATGTCGATGTCGCAAATGTCACAAGCGGATATTGCACGATTTATGGCACAGGTTAGTACCATTGAATTATGGGAAAAATTGATTATGGTTGTAGTTTGTGACGTCCTCAAATTAATGATAAACACACATTTTAACCTTTTAGCAACAGTTACATTCACAGGCTCAATTGCAAGCCCAACAACGTAATTCTTACCCACAAAGATCCTCACAAATCCAAAGCCAAGTGTCGAATCGTCAAGGATATGGAAATTATCTTGGTTCAATGAATCTATCTCAAATGCAAACACCGCCGCCATTAGTGAGATCATCACAAAGTTCAGCAGCGTAAGTTGTGAAATGCGATAAACAGCATCTGTAGGAAATGCCGAGCATTATCTAACTTTGATTTCCGTTTATTTAGATCAAATACTGTGGACTATCGTCGACAACAGCAGCTGTTACTACAACAACAGCAGCAGCAGCAACAAGCACAAAGGCAAAGCTCCGGCATAATGCATCAACGACCAGCACACTCTCAACCTCATCAATCGTTGGCCTCACCATACGATGGCTCTGGCCGATATAAAGTCATTCAAGACGCTCAACCCATGAATCATTCGGCCGTTCCGTTCAAGAAATCCCATTGTAATATTCAAAATGTGTCGGTGCCGTGCGTAAATATGAATCAATATTCCGAAAATGATATGCTCATGACGGTTGTTGATTTCAATGAATTGCTATTCCCAAATCTAAGCTTTGAGATGTGCATCGAACGTTTGTCCGTTTTGAAAATTGAACAATATCTTGGAAATCGGTAAGATGATAGTTTTACTTTTGCATACGAATTTCTATTTGAAACAAATAAACCATATAAGTATTTGAATGAAATGTAATTGATTGTTTTACTTTTGATTACAGTGATCAAGTGCAATTGATGGGAGTTAATCCAAAGGTGCCGTTTGTGAGGGTGCGCGATGTCATTCAACATATCGTGCAATTAACGTATATGGCACAAGGTCAAGATCAACCGCAAGCAAAACGATCGCGCATAAGCTAGGAATTGGGTTGGGGGATAATGTCTTATCCCCCAAAAGAAACTGAAATCGATACAACACCAAATTCACAGCACAAATTACAAAAATCACAATTGCTATCATCGTCAACTGTATCCTCATCGACAACGCTCAATGAAGCGATTGCTCGGAACATAGCATCAAATATTGAACTTCCATATTCACATGAGTATGGTAATAGCAACAGCGCCAAACCACCAAATAGCTCAACCGCATCGTCATCCCAATTAACGACATCAGAGAGACCGTCAGGTCATTACTATTCAATCAGCAAACATGAAATTCCACCAAATAGTTACACTCCCGGCAATCTTGTATCTGATTCAGTTTCACCACGTTCAACAACCACAACATCATTGGCTGATCCACAACATCCAACATCAAATTCATTTTATCAACATCATTCACTAGAGTTACCATCGCCATCATCGTCAACATCATCGCAAACATCCAAAACAAATCTATCACTATTTGGCTCGTATTCACCGAGCCCATTCCCACTTTTACCAAATCTATCATTCGATACGCCAACCATATTTCCACCAACGCCACCACCTTCGGCATGGAATCCATTTTGGTAAAAGCAAATTGAACGAGTGAAAACTTATCACTTTTAGTTTGCTTTCACTAATTGTTATCATTATTTTACTCCGATATTTATCGTTGGATTTATTTTTACTCAATTGGAGAATTTAAACTGATACATGTTTTTTTTGTACATAAAACACTGTAAATAAGCAAAGAAAAGAAAACGTTTCTATTTTAAGTTAAAATTAAATCAAAACCCAATTCAAAGAAAACTTAAATGTTTATGTCTCAAACACACTAACACACACACACACACACACTATCTGATATTGTATAAGCAAAATAATCATGATAAAAAAATGGTCAAAGACACTCAAAGTGCTGCTATATAAACATTTAAATAAAAACGCAAAGTTACTATTATCCATAGACAGTTTAGCATATACCATTCGATGTATTTAATTCATACATAATTAGACAGATCATTAAACATTCACTCATTAATTATCCTTATGAAAAACAAAACTAAAACATTGATATTTTATGTTATTATGTACTAAATAGCAGAAGCAAATAAATGTTAATTAAAATCGGAAAAGAAGTAGGGACAGAAAAAAAATAGGGAACGATAAAATATGAAAAGGAACAATTGGAATCTATTAAGTTGACAATTCCAATGTGACATGAATGTATACCGAATTTAGCTCAGAAGAAGGAAAAAAAACTTCATTGAAAATTTAAAAAAAATTAAATCGTCTACTTTATTAAATTCAATAATGGAAAAAAGTTAGTAATAAATTTGAAGAAGAATAAAGTTTAGCTAAAAAAGAGTATTAAAAACAGCTGAAATGAGTGGAACAAGAATAAAAAATTAAAATCGTTCGGACTATATTTATTGAAATAAAAAATCGTTTTTTTCTTTTTCTTCAAGAAAAAAGCATATTATTTAATGTGGTAAAAATAAACATCAATTTCTATTTCAAATTACAAATTAACTCAATGTTGTTTGTTTTCCAAGAGTATGCCCATTCAAAAGTACAGTGTAGTTGGTAGCAAGAATTCTACTCGCCAGTCAACACGTATGCATGCATCATATATGTATAATGACGATGATGATAATGTTGAGATGAAAATATTTTCGTCGTTTTAAAATCAGTGGTATGGTTCACATGTTATCTGGTTTGCTTTTGCTTTGTTTTTGTAATTTTTTTTTTAAAAGGAGTACATCGTATCGTCTGATGTCATTAGCCGCAATCAAATCAAACCAATTGGAATGCATCTTTTCCAAATCATCTAACCAAATTAAGCGTAGCGCCATCGGCACTCTTTGTGGTTCAACGAAATTAAAAAAGATTATTACAACCCTTTCGCATTCGCAAAATTAAATTACAAACAGAGAGAGAAAACGAAGCGATGAATCCTTGCAGAGCACAGTTCGACTGTTAAAATCGGATTAAGTAATGAAGTCTCTCTCTCTCTCTCTCTCCACATACACTCAATAAATGATATAATCAACAGTCAATCCTCGTTGCAATAAAATCATAAAATAAATTGGAAAAAAGAGGACATAAATACTAACAAGAAATGACTTGGTCGGTGTATGTGTGTTTATGCGGTGAATTAAGCAACAAACCGACAACAAGAGATAAGAAGATGCATTACACTACCGGATAGCTGTAGTGATAAAACTGAAACAGAAATGAGTAAAACTCTCCGAATCGGGGGGATATATACTCGTAAAATGACATCGTCAGCTCATATTCCGAGTGCGATGCAAAGATATGCGCACGTATGAGTAAAAACAAAAGGATTCAGTGTATGGTGTAGTCATTCTGATCGATATGATATAGAATTGAATATGTGCTAGGCGCATGCTTCTTCCTTCGAAGCATTTGCCATTTCATGCATACCAATACACACAGACGGTGTGCGAGAGCGGGTAAACATGATAAAGTCAATGGTTTTTGTTTGAATTTTGTTTTTCTCGGTCGGCGAGTGAAAAATCCATCGGTTGGCTTCTCACACACGATTTGACATACACCGAGCACTGCAAATGAATGCGAGAGAGAAAGAGAGATGTTTTGCGAAGAGCGCTTTTTTTTTTTGTTTGCGTTATGCTTTCAACGATGAGGTTGGAAAAATTGCTATCGGTAAATGAACGGCTGGTTCCAAGTAGCAAGAACTTTGTTATGCATGAGCTCTCTTCTTGCAATACTCTCCAGCGCGCGATTCAATCGGTGTGTGTGCGTCGTCGAACAGTGTTGAACTTAAGCGAGAGGGAGTGTAAGTGCGTAAAAAACATCTATCGCACATTTTCAAAGCATATTTTCAGCCACATAAATTGAGCATAGCTTTATTCTCAAAGTAGAAGCGGCAGTCAGGCACTGGCACGGGAAAAAGAAGAGAAAAAAAACGACATCTAAATCCGATTGACATCGAATACAGTGGTGGTGGTTTTTTCTCTCACTCTCGTTGTTTTCATCTTCAACATTTTTTTTCTTTCTTTTTTCGCATTTTCTCGCTCATTCAATCGGAATACTCATCCAGTTGTGTTAAACTTTGGTCATAGTTGTATTTTAATTCTCAGTGGTTTTGCACGGCACATTATGACTTTGTCCATTCGCTACATACGTTTATCAATTTTTATCAACGGCACCAACTCACCAAACCCACTTCACAGCAATTATACACATAAACGGCGCAAAAAGTGAACAGTGTTCTCTACATTCATTTTTTTTAAATTCTTTATGTGTCGACACGAAAAACTTTTTTGGAATGTACGAAAATAATGAAAGACAAACCAATACAAAAAACAACGGTAAAAAAATTGGCAATAGAGTGTGTGTGGTTGAAAACTAACAGTAGCGGAGAAAACAGAAAGAAGAATTTTAGATAGGGAAAAAAAAGCTGTGTACAGAGTTGAATCGTGTGCAATTTCCAATTGATTCGGTCATTGGCCACACAGTGTCGAGAAACGAATGTGCTGCGAGGAAGTAATGAAATTGGGATTTTGTTTTAAACAAAAAAAAATAACTTTAACTATGTTACACTTACCAGACGAGTCAGTCGGTTTGAGATCGAACCAACATTACGAAAACATAGAAAACAAATGGTGAGACATTGCATGCATTAAATATACTTAACCTTTGCCAGTCGAAAGTGGTGTGTCTCCGATTAAAGTCGCAAACAACGAACGACGCGAAGAAAAGCACGAAAAAAAAGATAAACATTATTAAAATAATTGAAAATAAAAGCGAATTCATCACGCACAATATGTGAAACGGTGTTTTTTTTTTCGTTCTTTCATTTCGCAAATACCGTCATACATTATCATTCTCATGATGCCAAAATGAAAAGTTCAGCGTAAAATATAGCATAGATGAAGGATTGAAGGGAATGGGTGCTTCGTTTTCAGTGTTGCAACTTTGCCCAGCAAAGTGCTAAGCCAATCGTAGTTAGTTGAATAAATTGTGTGAGCGAATTTAATTAAATTTAATTGATAAATCCTTCGATTGTGAGTGTTAGAATTGAAGGGATAAGCGAAATAAAATAGCAACGTTGTCAATTAGAAAATGGAGCGTGTGTGGCGAAAAGTGAATCAAGGATTATCCAACACAACATCAACATTGTTGAAACAATCGCGCAACAACAACAATCGAAACAGCAATAGTAATTACAATTTTGGTGACGCAGCAACAAATGCTGAAAATCTTCGACATTCTTCATCGATTCACATAGAAGACGGTCCGGTCTATGCGAATGTTCCACAATATAATCGCGGATGGGGATACATAGATACATCGAAATGCCGTAAACGACGAAGAAAAGTCAAATCACGCCGAAACAGGTAAACAACAACAAAATCACAATTTTTTTCGTTTATAAAGAAATTCTCTCAAACTTTTTCTTACTAACAAAAAAAAGAGAAATACACAAAAATTTGATGAAAAATAAATCGCGTTCATTTATTTTGTATGGAATTGCATTTGTAAGCGACGATGCGGCAAATCTATACAATAATCGTAATATTTTCCGCTTGGATGGTGAAGTGTTATGGTTTCCGTGTGAATGCCATGCTGACCAGCTTTTATTCTTTTGTCTGCATTGACTTCATTTTTGGTCGATCGTATGCTTAGGTGGACGTTCGGTCGTTTATTTGATTGGTTATGTTGGCAAAAAGAAAAACTTCGTTCACTAAAGGTTTAACTCATTTAACACTAACTAGCCACGTATGCCGATGACTAACCAATGTTGTTATTGTTTGTATGTCTGTTAACGTAATGTGCTTAATTGTACGCGCTCGTATTTGATTTATGCGATGCGCCCCTTTACCTCGACATTTCATCATACATATGCATGTATGTGTGTGTGTGTCTATGAGTGAGTCAGTCGAATGAGTCATTTTTCGGTACTATTGTGTCATTCAGTCTTTCTAAACTTCGATTGTTGACATAATAGACACTATATTGAACGTTAAATAAGCGGGCTCTTGGCGCTCCATCCCTCTGTCTCTCTAACGAATTAATCTAATTTCATTTGTCAAAATTGTATCAGGAAACGAGAACGTGAAAAGGAAGCCAAAACAGACATTGGACATGTCCAAAATATGCATGTATTCGCTTTTTTCTTCTATTCTATTCTTTGACTGTTAGTCAATCAAGTTAGCTTCATTTCCAGCCATTTCCTATTTGACATGCCTTGCTTTCTTCAATTCATTCTTGACATAATTGGATCGGACAATCTTTATAGTCAGTTTTTCCGTTGCTGTTGTTGTTGTTTTTACTGCTGTGCATGTGTACGTTCGTGAAGCCAATGGTTGTTTGAATCCCAACAACATCAACCGTGCTCTGGTTGCCACTGTCAACTGCACCGTGCACATTTACATATAATCGTTATATGCATATTTTTCATATTGCAGCAGGCGACGACACCAACAAAAAAATGTAGGTCTTTTAAAAGTCATTGCGGTCGATGTATCTTCCTTTTCTGAGCTCACTCTGTATCTTGCGCCGGGTCAAGTGTTTTTCATTCTTTTGCTTATTATCTCTGCTCTTTCTCATCTTTGTATGCTAAAAATAGAAGGCAATAAACGGAAAAGTGCCGCATCCAAGAGAAAAGTTATCACACACACACACATACACACAAAATCGATCACAGAATATTTTTCTATGGATTTTTGCCATACATTCGCAAAACCACCGTCAAACACAATATTGGCTATTGGTTTTTGTCTACTTTCTATTGTGTTTAATGAAATATTTCTCCTACGCACAATGTGATTTCATGCAGATTTTCTTCCCATCCCTTTTTGTTACAGTCAAAATGTGTATTTACTTTGAAAGATTTACACGGTCAATTGACAAAAAAAAACACACCGTTTCTACACCGTTGGTAGCCTTTGATCCATGCTCTTATTGAGTTTTGAATATTCATAACGTTGTTTGTCACATGGGTTTTTGTTTTCATTTTACCTTTGCGGAACAACGCCGATTATTCAAACTTGGCTTTGATTGCAATGCCTTTATACATTCCACACTTTACTTTATTTTCATTCTTTTTCGTCGTCACAATTCATACAGCTCAAAAGAGAAACACTCTAAATCCAAGAACGTCGACAAATCAAAGGGTTCAACAAAGGAAACTTCGCTGCGTGAGCGTGCCGTTGCCAAATTGAAAATTTTGAATTTCAACATCAACTGGGATGTACATATGAAGCCATGCGGGTATGTTCCATTATAACAAAACATCTTTGTTTTGCAAGACAACTTTTTCCATAAACTTTTTGTCCTTTGTTTTATTCCGTTGAAAAAGTTTTTAATAAACTTCATGTTTTGTTTTTTTTTTTTGCATCAAAAACAAATATACAAACGATGTTTTTTTTTTTGGTATGTGTGTGTTTGTCATAGATCACGTGTCAACACCAGTATTTTAACGAGAAGATTGTGTCGTAATCGAAGCTGCGACGACAATGAACTATACCGATCGAATAGTTTTAAATTTGAACGATTTCGCCGTGACGATACAGATGCGGCTACTGTGTCGGTTAATACCTTGCCGAAGCAAGTAAGTAAATTCCAATCTGTTGACTGTTGAGTTAAAAAAAAATGTTGTTGTTATTGTTTGTTTTTATTGATTTGAATGTTTATTTATATATTCTCATTGATATTATTCATAATATAGCCCCTAAAAATATGTTAAAAGGGCATCACATTTACATAAAACAATGTGATAAATATTTTAAGTACAACAGTAATTTATTTTTTGTGTGTGTTAAATTATTCATTTTACGGTAAACGTTTTTTGATTAAATTTTCGAGTTTTCGAATTCGACCCTTATCAGCTGAGGCTGTCAGTGATGAGGTCACATTGCTGGCCGTTTGTTTGATAGTTGAAGCGATTGAATTTTCACTGGATGATGGTGATTTTATAACATTTGCCATCATTGCCGATGAATTGGCGCTTCCTTCAATTTGGTCGCTGTCATTTTCAAATGGATTCGTAGATTGTTGTTTTGGATCTTTTGGTGCCATTCGCTTGTACAATTCCAGTAAATAGGTTGAATCGGATCGCTTTAGCCCTTTCATATCCATTATTTTATTGAATTCGGTTTGTGAACTATCTGGCAATAATTTTAAATAATGTTCAATGAATGCTTGTGCAGGTGTTGTTGGTTGCATCACAATTTTAATTATCATTTCGGCTTTGGTCATTCCTTTGACCACAACTTTTGAATAGCTTGCCGGCGCTTTTCGTTTCACTTGCGAACCAATCGATGGCAAATCCAATAAAATCGTTTTCAAACTATGTGTATCGAGTAATAATTGTTCACATCCAAGGATGCTACTGTTATTATTGGCCAAACCTGCATTTGCACCAATTGAATCGGAATTCGATGCCGATGAACTATTCATTAGACGACATTTGTACAATGCATTTATGTAACGTGGAATGAATGAATTGACAAATTTATGACAAAATTGCGTATAATACTTTCGAGATGCTGATAAATTGTCACGAATTATTGGAATAGTTGTATGAAAATTTGATAAAATTGAATTAACGAACGGACTCTGATCGCCTACATTTTGAATGTTGTACCAAGTGGTCTGAAATAACAAAGACGTTAAGACTCTTTCTTATAGAGAGAGAAAAAAAGAAAATTACACCCACCTTATTCATAACGATGAGTGCTGCCTCGCAACCACATTCAATGTCTTGCACCATTAAGTGGATACAATGTGAAATGCATCGATGGAAAATGTCTTTTTCGTCAGATAAATCGATTTTATCCGTATAGGCTTCGTCACTTTTTTCTTTGAGTTTTGCTTCGAGTTGATCCACCGTTTCGACACAATACTCGGCCGTTGTCAAAATGCAGCACAAACGAACGATTTCTTCACGCAAATACCTCGGTTGATCGCCTTCTTTTAAAAGATTTTGAATCACATTACCAGCGGCGGTTGACAGATTTTGGAAATCCTTCGTCAACATTGACATGCTTGTCATTTGCTTGCCTGAAAGTAATTTAATTTCATGTAAAAAACTAATAAAAAACCAAACAGAAGAATAGAAATAAAAATCGAACCCAATGAAGTGATTTGAGCAGTTGCTTTTGGAATTTTATGCTCCAAAATTTTGCTCGCATATTCTCGCAGATATTTTTTGAATATTTGTGTCAATTGATACATCGGTCGTTCGGTACTCAATTGAGTGCATTGAACTAAACACTTTTTATAGAATACAAATAGATCGGCGCAGCTGTAAATAGAAAATGGTTTTAATTTTAACTTGCAAATGTACATAAATACACAAAATGTGTGAAAAAACGAAACGATACCTCGGAAAAACGGTTGAATTATTACTAATTGGATCGAATTCAGTTTTTGTTTTACTATTTTCCAGTACAAAGCGTTCAATGAGCTCGGCCAAGTTTCGGTCAATGCTATCGGTATAAATATCCAAAAATGGTTCGAAACACACACCAATCAACCCGATAAATGGTGAATTTCCAATTTGGCTTGCATCTGTATCCGATGCATTTGCCGGTTTATCGTCAAGTGGTAGAATTTTCGGTGCTCGAGACGGTTTGGTGATGTTCATTGCGGCCAAAATTAAACCAATAAAACGTTTTGCCAGTAGCAATTCAAATTGTTGTGTTTTTGAAATGGCATATAGTAATAATTTAACATCGATTTCGGTGCGACGTTTTTGCATCAATGCCGCAAGGCTATCGCGTGTTATTATGCAAAATTGTATAGTTATACGTTCAGATAATTCCCAGTCAGCCGGAAACACTTTTCCTAGCCGATTCTCAAAGTCAAGCAAATGCCGTTTCAACCATGCATACCGTTTATCGATTTTTGCAATCCAAGCAATATCATCACTCTCATGGAATAATTGCTCGTATTCTTGCAATTGAAGCGCTGTGACAAGAGAAGTAAACAATACATTTTAGTTAAAACAATGTGATTCTTGTTAAGTTATAACAATACTTACAAATAAACCACTTCAGAAGGTCGGCTTTCACTTTTTGATCTTCAAGCACAGATACGACGGAACAAGCGTCGGCCAACTGCGACAACGACAATTTATCGCCAGACGAACTACCTGTGCTCATTAATGTATTGTGGAAGTCAGCAGTTATTTGAGTTGCAAGCTTCTCTTGAATTTGTTTTACTTTTACCGATAGATCCTGATCACGGAAAATGGAGCCGATTAATTTTTATTCGCTTTTTTTGAAAATGGGGTTCATTGACATTTTTCCCCTTTAATTTACCTTAATTTTCGGAATCTCTGTGTACTGTTGAAAATGTCGATTCACTTCTATAATCGCTTGCAATGGATTCAATAGTTCACCATATTGACGATTTTCCGCCAATTTTGAAAGATTCTCAATGCCACCGACCAAAATGTGTAAATGGTTTAACGTTGTGATTGCACTGGTTAAATTCTTTTTTGCCCAATCCAATTGTTTAATATCGCGTGTTATTTCTTTGACCATGTCTTCAGTTTTCTCGGCTCGAGTTTTAATTTCAATAATCTGTTCAAACAGATGGCCTATGACATTTTGAGCCTCAGACAATGCACATCGGCCGTCTTGTGCAGTAGTCGTTTGACTTCGTACAACCGAACGAATATTTTCATCTATTTGCTGACACTCGTTTTCCATTTTTGCAAGCACATCATCGATAGTCGACAGTGATTGTTCGGTCGGAAACATTTGATTGATATAATCAGCCGCATTGAAATCCGGATTTTCAATGGAATCGGAACGAATTATCTGGCAAATCACCGGGGAAAAACATTATATTTAGAGATGAAACGTAATAAAATTGAGTATAGTAGTACTTGTTACCTGGTCAATCGCCTTTTGAATATCATCATTTTGAAATATTTTATTCATTTTGCTATTACTGCTGTCGATACTTTGTGTATCGCTTTTTGTTTCGGATATATCCATCGTAGTTTCCGTCATACTGAATGAAACTATTGCAAAATTACTTTCTATAATTATTTAACCACACCCGACCCGATAACATCGACGTGTTTATTTCACACGGCCACAAACGAAAAAAAGAGGAACTTTTCCACTGAAATTCAATAATTTCACAAATTTATAACTTTACATATTCCACGGCACATACCTAGTTACAAAACATTTCACTAACATATTTACATGTAGCAAGTATGTTTCTGCTGACTGAAATTGCATTCGTTTTATTCCAAATGATGATAGCACCAACAAATGTCAAAATTGACATTTAAAGCTTCAGTGAACAAGAAAAAGAAGAAGAAGTAGCTGAATTCTACTACTATGAGCGGCAATTTTGATTTAAATTTTCTTCCATAATTTTATTCACATTTAAATTTCAATGAAAATTTACTATTTCACGTGATTTGGACCCTTTTTCGAATGCAATAGAAAAATATTTGTCAATTAAATGTGTGGCAGAGTTTTTAACCGCTGACGTTCAATGGAATTCAGCACATTTTAAAGTTCGTTATTTTGCGTTGGGCATATAGCTACACTATAATCAATTTTATTGTGTATATTGAATTATTATGAAAATGATACTGTATATGTATAACTGGGCACTTTGGATTGAATAATGGGAATTTTTTGATTAAAAAAATAGTTATAGGTATTTGGAATCCATAGTTTTGAGTCTTGTATAAAATAAATGTGCGCATGTCTGAAAATATGTCTTATTCCAGTCAGTGGAAAAATCCATTTGAGTCATTTGTTGTTTTTTTTGCTCAACACGTACAGCGAACTTCTGCGTTTATACACATGTAATGTCTCTCTTTCTCATTCACATTGTCGTTTTCACCCTCGCTCACTATATCGTCACCTGTGCCTGTCCCATTCATTGTGGCATATTGACTCTGCCACGCTCACGCTCTCGTCGGTACTTGCGGATGCCAACTTTTATCCGTGTCTACATTCTCTCTCTCTTTCTCTCTCGCTTCGGTCTGGTTCTCTCCACAGAAGCGTGAGCATAAGCCAAACAATGAAATTTAGTTGAATCGCTCACATAAAATCCGTAGCTATGTTCTCAGTTGTAATTCGATTGTATAACGAAACGGAATAAGAAATCGACGTTCGCTGCTCTATATTTGCTTTTTACGACTGTGCCGAACAATAATAACATACAAACAACTACAAATCAATAATATTGTAAACATATCAAAAAACAGAAACTGTTTATTATTTACCTAACAACACATCAATTTAAAGAGAAGAATAAAAATTATAGATTTTAATCTAAAAAGATGATTTTATTTGCCATTAGAAAGTGAGATACGCATCGATCGACAATAAAAGCTATAAAGTCAATAATTTTCCGTAACACACAGTGTGCAATAGAAAAGCATTGTTATAGTGATATATTTATTTACAAAATAGAAATTGTTAGAAAACGTTTTCAAACATCATACCCCCCGCAACCAGTGAATTGACGATTTTTGTGCAATATATTCATTGAGTTTAGAGATAGAGAGGAGAAAAGAAGATATTTATTATCATGAGAGTATTCAATGAAAGGCAATTTTCACGCATTTCAAAGAGCAATCCCGAATAAATTCAGCTTCATCAAATAAACGAACGGGGATATTATACATCAACGACGAATAAGAATAGAATTGAATAAAACGTGCAGAAAGCATATAAATATAGAAACCTTGCTCTTTTGTTAAACGTAAATGGTAATGGTGGTGGTGATGATGATGGTAAAAACATGAACAATAGCGGAACCATAGTTACGAGCTCAAAAGTGCTTGTCGTTATGTGAAATGATTGCTTTGTAGCAAAAAAAGACAAAACCATATTACACAGTCAAAAAGGACTACATCAATACAGATTCGCATATACATCAAGAGAGAGAGAGCGTAATAATAATAATAACAACCGAAAAATAGATTTTTGCGTACAGGACCACGGCATACGCAGCAGCATTTAGTGGTTAAGTGTTTTGGTAAGAGTGATGAAATAAGTGGTGTATGCCTCTTGGCCACACATAAAATTATCAACTTCTCCATAGGCATATAAATAAATAAAAAGATTGAAATAAATACACGCGAATATTATGCGTAGTTGGAAACTGTTTGAGTATGGGCTACTAATTTTCCGTATGGATAGAAAGAGTCACATAGTGTGTGTGTATGTGTATGCGTGTTGAAGTAAGCGTGTGCGATGATGATGATGATGGTGGTGTTGTTTTTGTTGTTGCTATTATTGGGATCACCGTACTGAGGATGACTCATTCAGCCATCTGGTTTCAACAGCTCGATGCGGTTTGGCTGTACACATGCATGTGCGATGGTGTGCTGGCGTACGAACACTATGTTCGTTCCTATTCGCTGTACAATTTGGGTAGACATGCACACAAAATTTATGAGCGAGCGTGTGTGCGTCGGTATAATGCGCGTACTCTAATCAAAAATGCTTATTTACCGTGAACACAGGGGGCTGTTTCGATCTCATCTTTTAGGCCTGTACCACGATTGATGGTTTTGTGATGTCTGCATTTTATACTTCTCAATTTACACTGAAATTCAAAGCGCACGATTCTCATACACGCTCTCCTTTCTCATCGCACGCAATCAACATTAATTTTTGAGCACATTTGGTGCGTTTTCATTGCTTTAATGCTTGTTTCGGTGCTCTTTTTGCTACCTCTTCACACCACTTCAATTCCCATTTTGCATGAGAGCAAAACAGAAAAAACTGCTATAAACATGGGCATTCAAGAGGCATATACGAAGAGCATGAGCATGACTAAATACATTTGCCAACTATCCAACACATTTTACATGGCGAAATTGCAGCATTTGACGTTGAACAAAACCCAACGGGGGGTGTTATGTTGAATTTCGATGATATACTATATTGAATTGGTGTATATTTGCTTTTTTTCCTCTCTTTTTTCAAGCGACATTGTCTATCGGACCGTAACCAAATCGTTTAACAGAATTACCATGAAAATAGATATGGAAAAAAGGAAAAAAGCTTTTTATTATAGCGTTTTTTTGCAAGAATCCCAGAAAATCCTGTTGATGAAGGCGAAGAATGTTTTGCTTTCGGCATTGTTTTTTTTTTCATTATTACGTTCTATGACGGTTTTATTTTTAGTACAAAAATGACTTCTTGTGATGGCATTTTCCGACCACGAACAATTTGAAAATACTGATTTTTCCCCCGTTGTGCCTAGACGCTCGAAAGAAGTATTTTTCATTAAGTCAACTATTTGCATATAAACACAAACATACACGCATCCTTTTAGGCAAATTACTCGGTTCTGTTCTTTGTAAATGACGTACGGCAATTAAAAAAAAGCTTGAAATTGATGCGTATTTCAAATGGAATAATAACAATGAAAATACATTTATTAGCAATACTCGAATGCCAAATAGCCCCTAATATCTATAATGAATAGAAATTAAACTAGAATTTTCATTGCTAAAATCCAGTTGGAGGCAAACGAGTGGAAAAATTTATCGTAAGCACGCAATTTGATAAGAAACCCAAACGATACGAGAATGCGCGCAAATGTTTGCATGTTGTATATATACAACGCAATGGAAAAACGGTAGACTGTTTGGCATTTACGACGACGATGATGTTGGTGATGACTCATCGGCCGGAGTGAATCACAAATGTTTTCAATAATACACTACATGCCATACGTTACGACATGATACAAGACTCACTCAATCCATTCGATTTATCGCTGATATATTACTTGTTATAACGCAAAAAAGATATATTTTCCAAATGCGAATATATATTTTATTTCAAATACGGGTCAAAGAGTCAACAAGGATTTCCTTTCGTTTCACTTCATTTCGTTTCGGAGGATCCGAACACATACACTTGTTTTTCGATTGAATTAAATAAATTGAATTTAGGTGGTTGTAAGCTTGTGAAATATGAAATCGAATCCACTTACCGTGCCCGCTCACTCGCCCAGAAACGTGTGAAATATGAGAGATGATAAAATTTATGAGTTTCGCAGCGAATCCAAAGCCAAAACTTTTTTTTTCGCTCGAGAAAATTGATTTTTTCTACAATGTCACCCGAACTTCACAAGGTTTCAACGTGCAATCAAGTGCCAACGTAAAAATGATGCCAATAAATTTATATCCATATAAAAAGTTGTTAAACTTTGTTTTTTTTTGTTTCCATCCATCTTAATTTATTGTCACAATGTTACAGAACAATTTTTTTGAATTATTATTGACATTATAAAAATGTTGACGCGAAAAATTATTTGAATTATTTCTGATAACAAAAACAAAATCAAATTAAGAATGTTATTTGATGAAAATGACATTTTTCGAACTTTTGAATTTGAGGCGTAATATAAAACACATAAATAGCATGTAGTCATCGTTGGATCAATAAATAAACAAAAGATTGATGTGACCACATTTTTCAACGAATAGCATCGCGTGTTTAGATTTCGCTGCAAAAAAAATATGTGTGTTTTGAGGTGTTTTATCAAAATGCCAAATTGGTTCATGCACTCGAGTCATCACAAAATACCGTGACTCCGTTGTAAAATACAAATGGCACACCTTTGGCAATTTCAATCTAAATACGCTGTAGAATTTTCAACAGTATATCAATTGACTCCACCTGTAGCCCGTTAATATAATCGTAGAAATATTGCGAATCAAAAAGAAATTAGTTTTGAAATTGTTTGTTTGCTTTTCACCCCAATGATAAAATACACTTATTTATTATACGTTATAATACTAAATTTGAATACCATTATATAAACACCTAAAACGAATATAAATGTGTGCCTCACCCAAGCGTATACATACATATATCATATATTATTTTGTAAATTATTTACAGGTCAATATATGCGACGATTACAGTTTACCCGTAGACTTTGTTAAAAAACGTCCATCCAGCTTAGAACAATGTCGTGATGTAAAATTTGCTGACGATTTTCCATCTCCAACCATATTTAATGAACAAGTATGCTAACATTTGTGATTGCTATTTACTTTACAATACCTTAAACTATTCGCTTGTATGAAATTAGATGTTGGTGTCTTTATCTTTTATTTTCAATTTGTCCTGATACTTTTGAAATGAAAATGATAAGAAAATCTTGAATGATTGACACGTCCCATTCACAGATTTTGCCAACGTCAAGTTTGAAAGAGACACGACCCCTGTTGACCGCATCAACTTCAACATCAACAGCTCCAAAAGTTTTACTCAATTATTGTGAACCGAAGGATAGTAAAAGGCCAAAACATAAAAAATCTTCAGTAAAATCAATAAAATACTTGTCAGGTGAGTTACTTCACACAAACATCCACTTGAAATTACATTGTTATATGCACCTTGTATAATATACATAAGCTAGAAATTACATACAAAAACAAACAATTTTATTCTCGAGCTTCTTATTGCATAAAAAATTAATGTAATGTTTCGCGTATAATTTTAACATGGTACAAACATTATACACTTTTTTAATGAATAGCTCGTTTGAACGAATCGATTACGGCATAAAAAGTAATCATAATTAATATTTCAATATTACGTTTTTTTTGTGCCAGATTCATCGTTGCCAAACTCAACTGACGAAGAATATAATCACGCCGAATCCAAATATGACTCATCCGAAAGTGTAGCCGATAGTTACTTAAATAACGAGCCTGAATACGCGAATCAAGAACGACCCCGACCAATATCACATCAGCGTTTACCAAATACAGGATCAAATTCAAACACATTAAATAGCAAATCACCGTATTACTATGCGGATTTGTTGCCTGGACTCAAAAATTCAACACAAACACAGCGCTCGTTAAAAGTAAGTACAATTGTTAGCAGTACATCAACTGCACCAAAGAAATATAAAAGTTTTTTGGACGACCCACCATCTCCGGATGTGCTAACATCACCTCCGGTTCAAAAACGGCGCAACGGAAATTACCAACGAAGACAGTCGATAAATGATCGTGATACATTTTCGTCGACAACATCGGACGATTCAAATTGTTCCGAATGCCAAAAGCGACGCGAACTTCGCAATTTACCGCCGTCACAAAATGAATCGCTCTGTGTGAGTGCCAACGAATACGACGAACGTGAAGAAGTGCCATCGCCAGCCCCAAACGAATTTCCATGTGATTCACGTGACTATATTGAAGCTGAGAGCCAAGACGTTACCGAAGACGAAATGGCACCGCATCGTTTATTAGGCCATGCTGCCTGCATTTGCTCATCGGAGCCAACCGATGACGGTTCACAATATCGCTCGAAGAGCATTTTTTATGTTCACCAACAAGGTGAGGATCAATGTGCTGACTGCACCATAAATAATGTCAATGAAAGAAGCTATTCGTGTGAATCTGATTTAATGTCGTCCGGCAAACGACGAATTCAAGTATATGAAACGGCATTTGATAGCACTGTGCCGCTCAGCGGTTCCGATGAACATTGTGAAATTGAAGAGCGCATCCGAAATATTATGCTAATTGATCCAAAGTTCAATCGAAAAACTGAGCAACCAAATGACGATGAGAAAACAAACCAACAATTCAACTGTGATTACCATAAGAATAGACAAGTAAGTGAAAATAGAAATATTGGATCGACATCGTGTAATTCACCGTCTTCCAAGAATGTGGCGTCAACAGCCGGTCGATATGCATCGCATTCACCACCATCATCGGCTCCAATGCCAATTAAATTTCCCGAAAAACACGAACAACGACTTTATCGCGACAGTAATCAGAGTGCACCAAATTTACCGCAAACAAATGCAACGCCACATCATTGTCGAAATGATCAAAATGACCGGGAAAAACCGTCGAAAAAATCAATGTTGAAAAAGAAGTGTTCACATGCACCGGAACGGGGAAAACAGGTACGAAAAAGTAAACGACGACAAAGAGCCGCCGCTGCAGGTCCGCAAAAATATTCGTCAACCGAAAGTATGTCGTCGAGTGAAGGAAGCATTGAATCGATACATTCAAGTGCCAGTGATGGTAATCGTAGTTCGATTAGTTCCGGCTCACGACATTCGGCCTCGTTGAGCTCACATAGTTCAGATTCGGGCGCTCGTGTCCGTTATCCACTTCGAACTCCGGTTATTGTGCATGCAAACATGAACATTTTGAGTCCAATCTCCGACAAATCAATACAAGAGTCATCCGAAATATTTGCGGCCGGTGCAACTCGTAAAACTTTACAATTATTTAACGATAATGGAGCGTCAAATGTGTCAGCGAAAGAGCTGAACAAACAAACCAGCGTCGATATGATGCTATTGGAAAATCAAAAATCCAATAAACGACGTTACTTACAAAATCGTGCATCGTTATTGTTAAAAGATGAAATACAAGGCAGTGACAGCGGAATCTCGTTGCAATCGCGTGACGATACAAAAATAAAGAGTTTAGCTCTACCAAATTTGAACGGTGGCCAACAAAAGCCAGAATCACAAGCATCCAATAATCAATCGCAAGCTTCAAACCAAACATTTAATAACTCAGGGCTAAGTTTACCAGAAGATTTTGCCAATCTACCGTTCGACATGCCAAAGCTCAGACGAAATCTGTTGCTTTCAGAACAAGTTAGTTGAATAGCATTTTTTGATACATCATTTTGAAAGTGTCATCTTAATTGCGTGTATTTTATTCAATAGAAACAAAGTACCTCAGGCAGTGCGACATCAGTGGATTTAGGCGATCTTCCATTTGATATGCCAAAATTGAATCGACGCATACGAGCTCAATCGGGATTATCGAATGATAATGCACCCAGTACACTGGATCATCCAAACAATATGTCACACGCATCATCCAGTTTATCAATGCGTGATGATAATCGATTTGGTATGTTGGGTTTTATTGAAATAGATTACAACACATGTGCTATTCAAATAGTGAAATTTAACTCCCTATTCGATTTTAACAGGCTCGGGACGAAAGAATCTTTCTCTGCAATTCAATCGAACGTCATTGATGAAGAATGATGGAATGCCGAATGAACGCGGTCTACATTTGAATTTATTTAGTGCCAAAAATAATATTGACATTGATACATCGCTTTCGTTGGATCGACAAGGGTATGTGATACGATGTATAAAATTTCACTTTCGATGAGCGACTCATGTGATGAATTTTCGATTTTTTTCAGATGGTATCATGGCGCATTAACACGTATTGAAGCAGAGAGCACACTTCGACCCTTAATGGAAGGAAGTTTTCTTGTTCGCAACTGCGAATCAGCCAGAAATGATTTTTCGCTATCGTTGAAGTAAGCTCACATTTTGATATTCCACAAACCTTTAATAGGTTTTTAGGTAATTAAATTACTAAAACTTTTGTACTTTTTCTGCCATTTTTTTTTCTTCGAAATCCAGGAGCGCAAAAGGTTTTATGCATATGCGTATCCAACAAAATGATACCGGAAAGTTTATTCTGGGTGAATTTAGTCAGCCATTCGATTCAGTTCCTGATATAATAAAGCATTTTTGTTTGAATCGATTACCAGTGCGTGGAGCCGAGCATATGTGTTTGGTTGAACCTGTAATAGCGCAATTGCTTTAAGCAAAATGATAAACACTAGACAAATTGCTTTCCACTTAATAATCTCCACGTCTATTAAATGCACACACCAGATGCTCGCCAAAACAAAACAAAAGAATAATTCTAGTCGTAATTGGTGCACCAAAAAAATCCAACCTCAAGCAAAATAACAATGAAAAAGAAAAAACAACACCGAAATTATGCTTGAAAAAGTGTATTTTAGACTGATTCAAGCGTACGAACGGAATGACACAAATCAAGTAAAACATACTCATTACGCTACGATTTTCTCTTTATATAGTATATGTACTGTGTATTATTTTCACCGTTCTATTTATCTGAAGGTATAAATTTATGTATTTATTATAAAACTAGTAAATATTATAAACATATAATATATGATATTTGAAGCCACACAAGTGGAGGACATGCTCTCATAAATTAAATGAAATGAACAAAATTTATTTGACAAACATTTCAACGGTGACACATTCATTCCAATTAACGCTAATAAAGTACATCTCATTTTGTATGGAGGGTGTATTTAGCAAAAAATGGTCGCCATATTTTAAGCTTGAAACATGAAACGTGTACACGTCAATAGGAGATAGATTTATGTTTTCGGTCATTGCAGCACTCTCAAGGCGTTGTAAAATGAGAAGCATGATGAAAAGCAGAACGGAAAATCGTACAGTGTGCAATCAAATGAAAATGTGACGAATATATAAATCAGAGAGCCAACCGAAATGAAAAATTGTTTTTACAAAAAAAAAATTACTATTTATTTGGTATGTTTTTGAATAGTTCGTAATAAATTTAAACCAAATATATGAAAAAAAACATTAAATTTTATTTCATTTTTTTTTTTTTCATTTATTCAATTTTTCCAAATAAATCATTGACTTTTCTAAAAGCCAAACTTATAAATTTATAAAATGCTTATTGCGATCAATTCGCAAAATCTGTTATGCTTTCTACAAGACCTTGTCCCAAGATCAAAAAGTCATTTTTCAATTGTTCATGATTGAATTGCAATTGATCGTCATCGGCTCTTACTTGTCCAACAGCAGCACTAATCTTAAATTCTTGTTTCGTAAATGTGCTTGGTTTCCATAAGACGGCTATTCGATCCCCACCGCATGGATTATAAAAGAACATGGCTACATGACTGTAACCCGATCGCAGTTCATTTAGATATGATTCCACTGGATTATAATCGGACAATGGTATAAAAGGTTTGCGTTGTCGGCACGGTTTGTTGCTATTGCTTGAAAATTCATGAACAAGATTGTCTCTGAGGTGTCTTTTGTTGAGATTTATCAATAGGTTATATCCGTCAATCGATGCCGTGAATAGTGGCTCAGCAGTGAAATCCTTAAAAATACTGTGCTGAATGAGTTTGATGGCATGGCGAGCCAATAGAGTAATTCGAGCAAGTATTTCAACACTCGGTGTTTTCTTTGACCACACGATGTGTTTATCAATCTCACCACATGACGTAATAATGCACAACGGTGGGAATACATTTCGCGTTGAAACGAATTCCATTTCCAATTTTTCCGTATATTCACGACTTAGGTCATCATTGAAATTCAATAGAATCAACTCTGTATTCCAATTCGTATTGGACAACATATGCAAAAATCGAATGAATGCAGTCTGTGGTTGTACTGGTGCCTCCGATGCAATTGCATTATAGTATTGATGAGCGACAAGGAGTTCAATACAAATGTCATCGAACAAAAATGGATCGATCAATTGTGAGCGTAGCCATCGTTTTGCCAAAAGTACCGTTGGTCCAAATGATAAGTGCTGATGATAAAGTCTGCAAAAAGGTAATGTATAAAAATCTTTGAAAAAAATCGGATTAATTTTTTTTTACACTTACGTGTGCAAAGAGACCGTTATTTTCGGAATTAGCATCAATTCACGTTCCATTTTCGTACTTTTTACGGAAGCTCTGTATTTGGTAATGCCTTTTGTAGTCACTTCTTTCATATGCAATGCAATCTCACGTGGAACAGCTATCTTGTATCGAAACATGTAACCGTCTGAAGAAGAATATTTTTTTTAGTTTGGATTTTGCGGAGAAGATAAATATGAAAATAAATCGATGTTACCTTTAATCACGTCGACGGAATCCACATTGACCTTGGTACGAAGGTGAAATTTTTTCCGCAATCCGCGCGCAATTTGAAGACAAAACGCAGCCTTGACCCGTTCAAGTGCTCCCAATTCACTTGGCCACTTTCCAGATGTTTCTGTGTTGCCATTAACAAATTAAAATAACAAAATCAATAAATTCATATTAATATTATTTTGAAATGAAGTTTTCTACGGTATAATTGGACTCGAGAGTACAAAATACGTGATTCTTTGAATTAAAATACAGATAAAGATTACATTTAAAAAACCAGTTACCCACCGAATTGAATAACACCCTCGTTTATTATGGACGCATTGAATGTTTGCTTATCGTCTTTTGAAAACAGTCTTGCATTTGCAATGACCGGAAGTAATTCGCAATAGCGAAACACTGGCGATTGACCTAGAAACAGAGATGATTTTTTCAATTATAAAATCTCTAAATGGATGAATGGACCATTTTTCGTTATATTTCACATACCCAACACAGATGTAATAACTAGTGGCAATTCATCGAGCGATCTCAAATTTTTGCCGAGTTCATCGAATGTCTTAATAACTTGAACGGCCATATTTTCCGCATTATTGTCGCCATCTAAAAATTCCTTAAAACATTCATTAATAGCGTACGCTGAATCCATTTGTGCAGCTGTGTACTGAATTTTATCGTTATCGATATTAAAATGATGTTCCAATAAATGTTCGACAATTCGTTTGCAAACTAATCTCTTTTCGGCTAATGATGATGTCAATGAACCCCAAACACAAGCCTCCGAAATTGATCTGAAATTTATAAATGTCTCAATACACTGAAAAATGTATACAAAAAAATCCCCATTCCAATATGTACCCATCTTGGAATCGCCTCAATTCCGACTTCGAGCCCCAGAATTGTCGGTATTCTTCTGCTTCAGGTAGATTTGATTGTGGTCCTTTGTCCAAAATATCAAGTGCATATTCTTGATTTAGAACGAGTCCAATTTTCAGTACACGTTCGTTTGGTGTGTGATGTTCGTTGATATTCCAGGTTTGTGAGTTGCCTTCATGAATTTCACTTATTGGTAAAATTGCATGAACACGTTTATCCAAGCCTTTCCGTAGAACACCCAATACCATTTTTTCTGCATATGCATGCCAAAAACCGCATACACTAAATAATGTTTCAGATTGTTCTGACTTCTTCAACAAGTTGGTCACATCAAATCGAACGATGTGGTCAACCTGGGTGTACAACGGCATTTTAGTTGCAAACAAAAATCGAAAACTATTTACATGTTCGTTGTTTAATAATTTCAATGCGAGCGAGCTTTCATGACGTACACGACGATATATGTCCAACGAGAGATTGGCACAAATATTATAGTAACCAGTCGAATCGATAAATACAACATCGAAATACTGATGGAAAATCTCTGGTTCGGGTTGTGTTGTACGGAACTTTGACTCATAAATCGAAATGCTCTTGTTTAATTCATCCCATGATGTATTGGCTGGAATTAAGAAAAAAAAAAACACTTTTTATCTTTTTGATCAGAAAGTATTTCGTGTAAGTGCACCCCTCACCTAGATGAATCCAAGCCTGGCGAATAATTTGATAGCTATTCATTGACGGTGTGATTAGATTCTTTTGTATCAAATATGCGATAAACATTGACAAAATGAAGCCATTGAAACCACCCTCTCCCACATTGTATTCGCGTTGCTTCAACCAAATTTTCAACAAAATTATGGCATCTCTGACGTGTGGATTAGTGCCGAGCGTATTGCATAGATATGTGTCATTAAATTTTGTATTTAAATCACCCAAAATAGTGCTATTATAATAGGGCGTTGCTGAATGTTCCGTATTTTTAATAACATCAGTCGATGTCTTCTTTTTCGAACATTTCAGTTCGGTCAATTGTTTAACGTTCGATTTTTCCGGTGCCAAGCGTTCGATTTTAAAACTTTCTTCGCCGCAAGTGGCTCGCAAATGGAAACAAATGTTTTTTCCATATTTTCCAGTCGGCTCTAGCACTAAAACCGGTTGGAATGGATTTCCATTTACAAAAGTGAATTTACAATTGGTCACTTGATCCCAAGATTTAACTTTCAACGCAAGATAGCTCAAATAGAGTGCCTTTTTTCGATGGTAGATTCCGTTTAAGTGATTGCCTTTGGGGAAAAAATCGGCCGGAATCTCAATACAAATATCTAAAGTGGTTTGCACTTTGATAACTGTTTGTGCCCGAAACGATCCAACCGGAAAAATTGAAGACGGTGTAACGAAACGGAATTTAATTGGTGCTGAATCAAATGGAATCTCCTCGCTGATCGGTGGCACAATTTTATTTTTCTTCAACCATTTCAATTCGTGAACCGGTGTTTCGTTCTCTTGCGTCGGTAGCGATTTTAAAAATTCGACTAATCCTTTGAAAAATGTTTCAGCAAATGCCGCTCGTTTTTCGGTTAATTTGGTTTCTTTCAACAATTCTTCGGTTTGCAAGTGGAAAAAATTCGAATGATACAATTTTTCGGTGGCTTTTAACTGATTGATTTCTTCAACTTTGGCCACTTTGTGTAGGTCTTTCTTTAGCTTCAGCTTTTTTGCGGCTGGATCAACCGATGTTTGGCTATCATTTTCTTGCACGTTTTTACGCTTTTTTGTTGATTTTTCATTTGGATTCAACATATTTTTAACAACGATGTTTTTTAAAACTTAAAACAGAACAAATTTGTTAATTTTTCAGAAATTAAACATACCGCACTTGTAACAGAGATTGATATATACACACGTGTTGGTAGATGTCAAAGTGATATTTGTCTGTCAAATGTGTGCTGACAATTTTTGTCAGCAAAACAAATGGCGATTGGAACGAACCCAGTGAATTGACATTTCAACACATTCGAAGGAACGTAAACAAAGCAAGCCGCAAGCATTTGGGCTGCATTCAATCATAACCAAATTAGCAATATGGATTCAAGAAATTACACAAAACTTGAATGTTCTAAATTGTACAATAGTTTATCATGTATTCCACTCATTTTAAAAGATAAAAATACAATCATCGACCTTTGGAATGATACTACTGTGGCGGGAACTATTCACGATGTTGATGGGTATATAGTGATATACATTTGTTTTCGAATTTGATCGCATTTTACATTCAATTTCTGCAGATTTATGAACATCACAATGATAAATGTGGTTTTTATCGATCAACAAGGCAAAATGAGACCACTGGATAATTTTTTCGTTCTCGCCAGAAATGTTAAATACATTCACATTCCAAATGAGGTATATACACTTTTTATATTGATTATTTTATTTAAAAAAAAATAGGAAACATATTTATGCCATTTATGTAGTTCGTTTTACTTTAACCAACAAACAATTTGATGACACATACATTGTGTTTTTATCGCGCTTAATTGGCTCAGCTGTTGTTGGTATAATTCAATTTGACATATTATGTCACCGCCCTATGACTATGAACAGTTGTCAAAGTTTGTACACGACTTTTTAGCTAGATTGTATACAAGGTACAAGCATCTCATGTAAATGAATGTGCCCAAAACAAAAAAAAACGATTTGTAAAAACGAATGGTTATTCGTTGTTTGTTTGTGTGGCCCGAAGGTGATAAAATTGTGCTCAAATCATTTTGATTGAATTAACAATACAGTATATTTAACAAGTGGTCGTCTCAACGTTACATTCGTTTTGTAAAACATCAATTTTCACACAACTCAGTACCCATGATCAGTTTGTATTTTACGTGAATTTTCTACAATTTTGTGACACAGAACATTTTGAAAAAACATACGCGAAATTTTTTGGCTTGATAATCGATGCGAATTTTTGCGATGAAAAATTAGTTTAATTCAACTTGAGCACAAACAAGACTGATAAGTAAAGTAAATAAATAAAAGCTGCTATTCATTTATCGAAAATAAAACAAGGATAAAAGAAAAGACAAACACGAAAAGATAAAGACGAACTTCGTAAAAAAACTAATAATCAAAATCAACATCTCAAAAAGTATGATAATAAGTAAGAGTGTGTTACGAAGTCAAGTGCAAAGCAAATCATGTGGACAATATACATGTCAAGTGCGTAGTCTATTTTTATGTATTGATGCATCGATTGAGAATACAAACAACGCCAAGCATAATTTCAAGCTCATTCGTCAATATCACCTGGGCGGCACAACGTTAAACAATATTAAACAGTTAAAGACGACGACGTCGACGACAGCAACAACAAAAACCTTGGATTCACTGTGTACGAATCGGAAATATTCCCGTTTTTCTGCCAATACAATTCTCACTGGAACTGACATGATGAAATTCACGGACTACGATTGTATTGGCTTCGATTTAGACAATACGCTGTTGCGTTACAAGCTAACGGAAATGGTTGAATTGGAATATCGTGTGCTGGCCAATTTTCTAATAACGAGCAAAGGTTATGCGAGCAAATATTTGGAACGGCCGATGATCGAAAACATTGATTTTTTGCAAAAAGGTTTAATCATCGATTTTGCACGTGGCAACATTTTGAAGATTGCGTACGATGGCTATATATCAAAAGCGTGTCACGGCACCAAACCCTTATGTGATGAGGAAATTGTCAAGATCTACGGTAAAAATCGAAGTTGGCAGGTGACCAGCGATTTTTGTAAGAACTTACTGGAGGCTTGGCATGGACCGTTAGCTGAAGACATGCGGACACTACTCGATTATTTTGATATGCCCGCTTCGCTTGTATTCGCTCGTATCGTTGACACCCTTGATGATGCCAATGGAAATAAACCATTGGCCAAGTACAATATTTGGCCCGACGTTTTGGACGGACTTTGCGAAATCTTCACATGGGAACACTTTGAAAATGATCGTAGCAAATATTTTTCTAGCGTTAAAGTGGATCCAGGCCGATACATTCATAAATCATCCGAATCGTTGAAAAACTGGCTAACGGAATTAAGAAAACATAAAACCGTGTTTTTGTTGACTGGTTCGCATATTGACTTTGCGAGTTTTACATCGTCGTATGCATTTGGAAAAGATTGGCGCAATTTTTTCGATGTGATCATTTGTTTTGCAAAAAAGCCTGGATTTTTTGCTAAGGACCGTCCGTTTTTGCGATCACATGACACTGAAGAAACAACCGAAGAAATCGATCCGTCGCAAATGAAACTTGGCGAAGTTTATACGCAGGGAAACTGGAACGGTCTGATGGAATGTTTGGCTCAAAAATCAAAAACCTCCAGACCAAAGGTGCTTTACATAGGAGACAATTTGATACAAGACGTCTACTCACCCAATGATTATTCAAAAGCCGATACAATCGCTATTTCTGAAGAAATGACAGCCGAAGGAATGAACGGACCGGCCACGGAACACAAAGATCAAAGGTTGCTTTGTTCACCGTTATGGGGCACATATTTTTTGGCGAGCAACGACGAACCAACCATTTGGCTTGAAATCATTCGCAAACATTCAAAACTTTGCGTACCAAATATGGAATACATTGCCGCAAATCCAATTGATCATGAATTCAAGATTTTTACACAGAAAATGTGTACAAACGGTTTCTATCCGAGTGAACCGATTTGCTTTTCGAAATAAAAAAAAAATTTCGATTCGAAGATTTAGCGAAGAAAAAATACAATAATGACACAGATAAAAGATTTCTATGAGATTACCATTTTACTTTGCAATTCAAATGGACTTTAGTTCTTTGTGATTTTACGTTGCTCATTACAATATTTTGACATTATAATATTTATATAAATATCAATCCGTTTTACCATATCAATTCACAGTTTCTTTGGCTACTAACATATATAGTATAAAATAAACTTTGACCAAATTAATTTAACATAAAGTAAACGTTCTGTTCTTTTTTTCGTTTAAAATAGACAATAAATGTAATGAATAATAAATCAGTTGATTGTCATTCTGAAATTATGGATTCTCTGTTATTCTTATTTATTTTAATTAGTTTCGTTGAAACGAACACTTGAATGTGAAAAACAAGCAATAAAGTATGACCTTGACCATTTTAATTTACAGGTCGATGTAACACAGGCTTTGGAGAAACTTTTTAACAAGAAACCAAGAGATATGAAAGACAAGCAACCACAAAAATCATTCAAATTGAAACGAGCGCAAAAATATCAGTTGGAAACATTGCGTGAACTCGCAGCTCAACAGGAAAACCAGGAAAGTGATGAAGCGTCACAAGGAACATCATCAGAAAATACCGCATAAACAATTCTCATCATTCATACACGAAAAAAAATCCATTTCATTTTCTTCGGAAACAAATATAAAATTTAACAAATGTGTGAAAGTTTTATTGTCACATGTAAAGCCATTTTGATTATTTTTGCCAAGCACAACGTCAAGTTTGTTCATAAAAAAAAAATACAATTTCTTCGAAACCATTGAACATTTTCATAACAGTTCAATGGCAATTGCTATTCCCATTCCGCCGCCAACACATAATGAGGCGACACCTTTGCGACCGCCAGTTCTTTTCAGTGCATAGATTAAGGTGACTAGTACACGACAACCAGATGCACCTATTGGATGACCTAATAGCATAAAAATGGAGCAAAGTTAAACTTTTGAATAAAATTTAAATATAACGAGGTACTTACCAAGTGCGATTGCACCACCGTTAATGTTTATTTTTGACTCGTCAATATTCAATTCCTTGTTGACAGACAAAGACACAGCGGCAAAGGCTTCATTCAGTTCATAAAGATCCACTTCATCTTTATTCCATCCGGCTTTTTTTAGCTAAAAAATAACAATAAAATGTATTTATCTGCTAATAAACGTGAAAAATGCGTCCCATTAACCATAATACTAACCACAATCTGAACAGCGCTGCTCGCGCCCATTCCCATAAAGTTGGGATCAACTCCGGCTTGACCAAATGCGACGATGCGGGCCAAAGGTGTGGCACCACGTTTTTGTGCCTCGGCGTGTGACATCAAAAGTACAGCCGCTGCTGAATCATTCAGTCCGGATGCGTTTCCAGCAGTGACCGAACCATTCTTATCGAAACAAGGTCTTAGTTTTGCTAGTGTTTCGGCTGTTGTTCCATGTTTCGGAAATTCATCTGCAATAGAAAAAAAAACATTTTTACAGTAAATAATATTAAGCAATAAATTTTGAGCACGAACATACCTTTATCGAATAATGTAACACCAGTTCGGCTTGGAATTGGAACAGGTACAATTTCAGCATCAAAATAGCCATTTTTCTGTGCAGCTTCCGCCAATTGTTGTGAACGTGCTGCATACGAGTCTTGTTCTTCACGAGTATTTTCAAACTTTTTATTACAATTTTCGGCAGTGATTCCCATGTGAATGTCACTAAATGCATCGGTGAGGCCATCATTCAACATTGTATCGGTAAGATTTGTTGAGCCCAATTTAACGCCAGCACGTAATTGAACGGCATGTGGTGCCAATGTCATACTTTCTTGGCCACCGCAAACCACAACGTTTGATTCGCCTGATTTAATCGATTGAAAGCCAAGGTATACTGATTTCAAACCAGAGCCACAAAGCATATTGCAGCCAAATGCGGGCACATCTTGTGGGATGCCAGCTTTAATTGAAGCTTGACGTGCAGGATTTTGGCCAGCGGCTGCAGTTAGGGTCTGTATTCAAATGACAAAAATGTGCAAAATCTCTTGTTATAAAATTCGAAAACAAAATTAAAAATTATTCTCTTACTTGACCAAGTATGACTTCATTAACATCAGCTGCATTTGTATTGGCACGATTCAGCACCTCTTTAACAACGATTGCACCAAGATCCGAAGCTGGCACTTTAGATAGGGTTCCATTGAAATTTCCTAATATATAAAATTAGCGCAAATGAATATGTTGAACATCAAATTTCGTTAATTTTTTTGAAAATTTTCTTACCGATTGGTGTTCGGGCAGCTGAAACAATATATACGTCACTCATTATCTGTTTTAAAACTGTAAAGTTCAGAGATAAGTATAGAATCTATCAAAAATGATGTGAAACACAATGAAAAATGACTGAATTGTGTCAATATTGAAATCACTTTCTAAAGTGTGTTAAAAGCAAACAGAAATGTGAATAAAAAATGCCCAAAAACTGAGGAAACACAATGTTATATCATAAGACGTTTGTACACAATTACACACACTCAAATGATGTTTTCGGAGAAAGTTTTGAAAGCAAACATGATCACTGGTATCGTAATTAACACCCAGTCACCAATACACACAAAAACTTGTTTCAAAAATATCATATGCAACTGTATGGCTTGATACATTACATACGTATCACTGTGTTTGTTCGTGGCATACATTGGAATTTCGCATATTACCGGATTAAATTTCTAATTTTCTTTTAATTGGTATTTTTTTGTGCAAATGAACAATAATATTAAGGTAATTAAAGTTTTCGGGCAATTTTTGTATTCAATTATCGCAAATAAACCAAAACTCACTTAAAAACTCGTTTAATTTAGCAATCCGAGTAAAAATGTGCCGTCTGAATACGAACAATGTTGGTTTGTTACTGATGCCATCATATGGTATTTAGCCGCATATGCCACATGCACGTTATCGCTCTGTAGAGCAACAAAGACTGAATGAATTTCCCCTCTTTTGCGTTTATAAGCAAAGGCGTGTAAAATGAATCACACTATTTCATTAACAAGAAATGTCACTTACACTACACTGATTCTGCTCAACGATAGTGATGTTATCTGTTGAACAAAAAATGAATTACAACAATTTTATTGTGCTTTCAACAAAACAACATTTTTATTTGTTATTACAAAGTTCACTCGATTTATTTTTATCAATTTTTTATGTATTTTCATTATATTAACGATGGTTTTTTCTTCTTGAAACAAAGTGCAATGAATGAAAAATATATTAAAAAATTCATATCGACTTTATCGTTTTTGAATGGAGTTTTGAGCAATTTCAATCCATAAGGTATCTTTTACTTATAATTTTAAAATGTAATTCTCTGCTTTTGAAATTCAGTACAGACATACAGAAAATCAACTCATGACGCAAACTTAGTATAGTAATTGAAAATCAATAATTATCATATGTTTTGAATCAATAATGAACTTATAATATTGGTGACATCGACATACATCGACATAGTATTTCCGATGTGACTTCTTTGAAAAAAAAAATCGAAAAGAATTTCTTTCTTGTGTTTAAATGTTGAGTTTTTCATGGAATGAATAATAAAAAAGACTGCAATGTAGTTTACCAATGAAGTAGAAGGATAACATATTTTTGTGATTTTCGAGTATATTTCAATATAAATATGATCTAGAATATGATTGAAAGTTCAAATAGCACATTATGCATAATGAAATAGCTATTCAAGCGATAATAAAGTAAAAAAAAAGTTGAAATGTTTCCAAGTAGGCCACAGTTTTATATGATCCATAAAATGTATGAGCTAAAATATCAGATTTTTTAAATAAATATCTATGATTCACTTTGTTCGTTATTGTTGATTAGCTTTAATCGAATATTTTAATTTTCAAAAACATATTTTTCTTCATCGTTAGAAAAGCAATGGTTTTATTGAATTATGGTTACTAAGACAAATCTTTGATATCATCCCAATTTTTTCTTAGAATTTCACCACTGGAAATGACTAAACGGCAGCTTCTTGTTGTCAGTGCAATATACAATGAAAACGTGTGAAATAATAACGTAAATATTAATGAGTTTTTTCATGATGTATTTTCAAGAATTTCTTCCTTCAGTTGTCGATTTGCATGTTTGATATGGCCAAGAAAATAAAATTCCAGAAAACATGGATAAGAGTTATTATTAAGGTAAGCTATGATAATCGTGGTATTTTACGTTAACGTAAAATATATTCTCATATTCTTATTTTTCCAACGAACACCAAATTTAAAAGAAAAAATTCAAATTTCTTGTAAAATAGTGTTGATTTAGTCAAAAGTATATGCGAAATAAAATTATTTAAATGTTGAAATTATAGTTGGAAAATAACTCTTAAATAATGAATTAATCATTAAAACAAATTCCTCTGGAATATTTTATTGCCCAAAAACCATATGTTTTCACCCAGGAATTGATCTGAATATTAAAAATACCGTCAGAGCGAGAATTTTTTGTTCTCGACTACATTAAATTGGGACTCATGTTCAAGTCATCATTAATATTCAAGTTTAATTAAACTAGATGTAAAATGTATTGAAATTCAAATTAAAAAAAATTCGAATAGTCAAGCGTGTGCATGAGTATAAAAGGGAGCCCATCACAACGATTGATACTCATTTCGAATCTCATCGATTTCAAGCAATCAAACGAGATGAAATACTTCTGCGCCGTTTTTATTGGCTTTGCCATCATTCAAACGGTAAGTTTTAGTGTTGAAAGTTTCTTTTTTAAAATCGAGTGTTCGAGTCATTACTTTCGATGAATTTCGTACTTTCAGATTCCTGTTGAATCAGGACCATTGGATGGCGTAAATAATGCTTATGGAAGTGCTTCGGCAGCAGCATCAGCTTTCTGGAATGGTCAGGGTCACGGCTCTAATCAAGTCTTGCAAAATGGTCCATCTTCCACTTCGGCATCAGCACGTAAGAATGACATCTCAATCGATGTAGATATTTCGCAAAAGCAGCAAGGTGCGATGAAAAACAACTTCAATAATGGCTTTAATTTGCCACACCAATATAGTTCAGGTAAAGAATCTGGATTTTCTCTTGAAGTTGGTGGTGCCAACAATCTCTTTAAATTCGTTCCCAACAAAGGAAACATGAATGAACAGGAAATGCATCAACACATCAGCCAATATCTCAAAAATATGAACGCTGGATCGAATATTCCATCAACATCAGGACATGGACATGGGCATGGCCATGGACAAGGTGGTCATCAATCAAGCAACAGTAAAAATGATATCTCAATCGATTTGGATATATCAACAAACTCCAACAATCAAAATACACACGGAAAAAACATGGATCCAAATATGCTTAAATACTTGCAGCAGCAACAACAACAACAAGGCCAAAACTATGTCGGTTTGGCAGCAACTAATCAAGCTGATGCCCCTAATCCAGCCGCACCTGGTATGTTTAGCAATGCTCTTGGTTCAGTTGGCTCCGCAGCATCATCTCTCAAGGACAAACTTTGGGGTTCCAAAGAAAACACTCCTCCAAGCACACCACAAAATGGATCCAAAAATGAGAAAAATATATCTCTTGACATCGATTTGGATACAGATGGTGATGGTAAAGCTGACCAAAAAATTAATGTAGACATTGACACCAACTCAGACGAAAAAGACCTTGATCGCGAACGCAATAGTTTAAAATCGGGTCATGACGCACATATGGGCGAACATGATAAGGGATTGGGAAAATCAGGCAAGAAAGAAAAGAAACAAAAGAAACAAAAGATTAAGAATCAGAAGAACAAGCATGTATCAAATTTGTCATGGACAAATGCTCATACTACAAACCATTACCATCCTGATCCACGTGCAGCTCAACCATCAGTCGTTCAAATTCACCTTCCACCACCAATGGCTATGCATCATTATAATGTTCCTCCACCACCAATGCCACCAAGCACTACTTACAATAGCATGAATGCTGCAGCATCTAGTCTTAGCTTGCAATCTACAACTGTTCCAAATGGATGTCCATATGCCCATTCACATGCTGCAGCAATGTCTGGATATGGCCATCCACATGGTCCGATGCCACCAACCGGATTCCATGGCAAAGGAAATGCTGTTTCAAGCTTGAATGGTCTACCAAGTGGTATGTACGGTCATGCTGATGCTGCAGTTAACATGCAATCCGGAGTTCCATCTTATGGTGCTCAACCAACTTCATTCAATCATATGAATCAAGTACCAAACATGCAAACTGGTCCATACAACAATGGAGCTTCATATAGTCCAATGCATGGCAAACAAAATTACTACGGCCCATCCTCAACCAATCACTATCAACAACAAATGCCACAGCAATATACCCAAACCCCATACCATTAAATGAACCAAATTACCGAATTTTTGACAACAAATTAAAAGCTGCTTATCGCATTTAATTTTCAATAATGTTCAAGCCGAAAACTTACTTTTCAAAATAAATACATTGCAACATATTAACATTTGATATTATTCACTTATTTTCCGTCTGTTTGTAAAATAAAATTTACGTCAACAAATATAATGTAATGTTGGCAGCAGTTATTTTCCCATTGCTCAAGTTCGTAATTTAATTTTAATATTATATGTGATTGTAGATATATTTTATATAGGTACCTGTAGACAGAATGATTATTTTTTCGGATCAAACCAACTGTGTGTTACCCACAATCACCATTTCTTATTTAAATTGAATGTGCATATATAACTGAAATTCAAATTTTTACATAGCAACCAATACGTGTTGAACACTGGGAAATTCATCTTTGTATCAATGAATTTTTTTAAATGATACTTCCGCAATTTGGTAGAAATGACATTTTTTTCTCGTGTAATTTTTCATTTAATATTCAAAAATCTTCTTGTCAATATTTTAAGTTCAATATACGCCCAAATTAGCGCTCCAATAGCACTAAATGCGTCTTTTAACTTATACAAAGTGTGGGTGTATTCACCATTGTTTCCTTTGAATGCTCTTTGCATCATAATCAAAATTACTTTTCGTTCAGGAGTCGAAAACTCAAACCAGTCTGTTTTTAAACATCACACAATTAAGCATTTTTTAAATGGCGAACGCAAATGAGCCAACAATCACATCCAATGTGTACAAAATAATCTATATCAATATACTACTTATTATAATATTGAAGAATGTCACTTTTCTGCGCGAAAAGTGTACACAGTTTCCAAAAAACCGGTCTACTCATTGTCTGCTGAACATAATCTATCAATGCAAAAATCTAGAAATTAAATTTTAATATTGATATCATATGAGCATATATGCATGGGGTATAGAATATTGTGCATAGAAATATCAATCTTCCCGACTTTGGGAATATCAACTTTGAATGCACACAAATCAACCGCTTTTATATCGGTGCATAGATTTATCAATACCAGACTGGTATTAGCAGTTAATCTTCACGACACCCACAAAATACAGTTAGTTTAAGAAATTATTTTTAATCCATTACTCTCCATGTAAAGTTGTATTTTTGATTTTTCAAGTTAATGTGAATTAATTTAAAGTTAAAGTTTCATTCAAATTACTGACCAAAGGGGGAAACAAGTTCTGGAGGTGTAACTCAAACATGGTCCAATAATGTATAGTCTTTGAAATTACTTTTATTTTCAAGTAAAATAAAAGAAATTTATTTCACCCATAGTCGGTTCTAAGTGCAACGTACATCATTATATCAAAAAAGGTTGATTAAATTTTAAATTGACTGAAATAATCTTTTTAATCGAAAATGGTATTTCATCGTTGATGTGAAAAAAGTACGTTTTATAAATATGATGCGGAGTCAGAAAAAAGGTAAAACGATTAGAAAGTAAGTGTTGTATTGTCTTCACTTGTTTTTGTCACCGTTGATTTAATTTCGTTGGAGTAGTACAGGTTAAATTGAGAGCGCATCAACTAATGCAGTATTGTCAAAATAAAGAAAGTATATGTAATTAATGAACTTCCTCTGTGAAGATCATTGAATTTCGGCATAACTCATCTCAGGTTTTTAACACGAAAACCAACAAACAATTCTGCAATTGGCTTGAGGAAAGCATTGAACACTAAAAACAACAATAACTAATTGCAATTTATCGATCAATCGACTATTGTATCCAATAATGTAATATGTGTGTTATATGCGGTAACTTTCATTTGGTTGTGGCTCCGGTTTTGCATTTCATTGTATGTGATTTGCATCTGCCTCGGCTTGAACTTGTACTTGCTGAATGGATCCGCATTGTGTATTTAACATGATTTGTTACGCTCAATAGATTTCTTTCTCCGGCGCACTGTTATTGTTTTGTTATTTATATAAACACACTTCATTCGCAGAATGTGTACATGTGTAGCTTCTTGTTTTCACAATACGTAAATAAAATCGTTGTAAGACAAAAAAGGCACGCATTCAATACCATTCAAAAGCAAAACAAATGAAATTACGGCAGATCAAGTTTAAGTAGTAAAAACTTGTACATTACCCGGAGTGATCGCATCAGCGGTGTTGAATCATACGCAATCGGTAGTCGAATAGGAGAGTGAGAGCGAAAGATGCTGAATGGCATGATCACAGCTACCATCATCATTAGCTTCAGCCAAAAAGAAAGATTGACGACCTTTCTTTCTTCAATGATTTTTTATTTTTATTTTGTTTTTATCTTGGGTGCGCTCATTGCGCGTTACTTTACGCTACTTTGCCACATAGTTTTACCGTGCAAAAATGAACCAGTGAAAGCGAAAGGGTTTCCGATACATAGAAAATACTTACCGTCTATGAAGCATTTTAAATCTCATCAAATAATTTGTCGATTGAAATTTTGAGCGTTCAAGTGAATAAGACCCATTAAAAAAAAGAAAAATCAACTCTGATTAAATCAAATCATATGTTGAAATGGAGTTTTCTCTTGTGCTATATGGATTTACATGATTTTAGTTTATGGTGGCGTGTTTTTCTTCGTTGTCATAAAAAAAATGTTTTAATAATAATCTTCTGCTCGTATTTTCTAATAATTTTTTCTATCGTCAATAAAGTGCTTAATGTAATCCATACGAAGAATCTTCGCATAATCTATTGAGTAAGAAGATGATGTGATCAAGGCAATAAAAATGCTTGAAAGACCATTAGATTCATGGCAAGTGAATAACGACATGTTCCCCTGGCTTTCTTCCATTTAACGTGTTCTCAACACCTTCTTGTTTTATGTTGTCCATTTTACGATTATCATGTTGTTTCATTGTTTATTCAAATTCAAGTAGCACGTACTATGCTATACTATTCAGCCGAATGCTCATGACGGTACGATTGCACAATCGATCAAAGAACCTTTCACTTTCGTTTTCTTGTCTGCTTAGTTTTCACTCTTTTTTTAAGTCGTCTTCTATTCATTTCGACCATCATATGGTCGATGGTGTTAAGATTACGAGGTTAGGCACTGTTGGGTGCTCTACTCGTAATAATTGTTCAAAACAAGAAACTTTTTTTTTTTTTTAAATACACACATTAATAATGACTTTGTTGAGGTGTTCGTTCATAAAATGTTTCTTGTGTTTTTTCCGTACTTTATTTTATTTCACGCATGAGATCTTGGACGAGATCTTAATGTGTTTTATATTGAATGAAAAGCGATTTTGCACGATTTTAGTCTCGCTGAACAATGATTTCCGATGCCAATCGTCGAATACGGAACCAAAAATAATTGAAAATCTAAGTGAAATGTGCCGAAAATTAGATACGAAGATCGATGAAAGTGCTGATTTTAAACAGATTGAGCACATGGAAAACAGTTGTAAAATTCACTGTTTAAATGCCAATGAAATTTGCGGCACGACAACATTTCTCATGGTCAATAACCAAATTGATTCTCGGAAATGTGAAATTTTTGCTGAAAATATATTTTAGCATTCGTGACACTTGTTTGTTATATATGTTGTTTTGCCGTAAAAGTTTTACTGGAAAATTTTCTCTTTTGTCGAAAAGTAAAAATAACGTCCATGCCATTTGGGCGATGAAAATCTGACGAATGATTTTTTTTTTTTTAAATGCGTGTAACAATTAACTTGCAAAATACAAGACGCTTTCGGTGTACTTTGTTCATTTTTTTATAGTTATTATTATTAACGCATATCACGAGACACATACAGTAATAGAAAGTGCTATGCGAATTGCTACTGTGAAGTGGCGTGCTTTATTTGGAAATTGGAGAGAAAAAAAAAATGTTTATCCGATTCGATCTGAAATGCGAGATAAAAGTCTGAATGTTTGTCGTGCATTAAGTCGAGCGACTACATTATTGGAATTGTCAAGCGTATCGAGAAAAGAGCAAGACAGAAAATGGTTCACTAAACGATTCTCAATCGCATGTCAATCATATTGTAAAATGATTAAAATGTGAAAAAAATAGAAACTTTTCCACAAGTAAGATTTCCCAAACGAAAACGAAACTTGAACCATAAAAGTGTCAACGCGATTTATTGGCGCTGTTTAAATTTAAAGTTGAATGAAACCGATAAATAAAAAAATAAATATTCTTATTGATGGAAATGAGTGTCAAAGTGGTCAATTTGTGGTGCGTGTGTGTGTTTCGTTTAATGCAGTAGATAAAGACATATCGTAGAAAGTGGAAACAGACCAATGATATTGTCATTTGATTGTGGTTTTGAGTCACGGTCAGAGAAATGCGTTGAGAATAACCATGAACATAAGAAACCGTGATTTATTTCCTTGATTTTATGATGTTCTGCTTTTCTTTGGCTTAATGCATTTCACATTGAAATGCATGGCCATGCTGATCTTTCATCGCATTTCATGTTAATCTGTTTCTTTCTTTTTCTTTTAATTTTGCGCCATACATCAGACAAATGTCGATGTACTATTTGGAGATGAAAAAAAAAAAAACCAAAAAGAAAGAGTCGTGAAACATTTTACGAAAAAAAAAACGCATCGCGATTTCAATGTAAGAAAGAGACAATGAACCGCGTACTCACAAGCAACAAAACGGCCGAACATAAAAAAAGAAATGGAAATGGAAACGAAAAAGAAATGAAACGAAATTCAACGTTTGGAGTGGAACATGATCAAAACAAAACAAAACGAAAAAAGACAAGACTAAACTACAATACGGCGCATGAGATTGACGAGAGAAGAGGAATAAAAAATACCTCCGACTCGAATTGAAACGCAGTCGGAGTAAGAAACTATATTAGTAGGTTATTTGGTTGAAATGATTTTAGTTAAGCTTAAGATTTTGTGGCGGTAATGTGAAAAAATAAATTGTTTTACAAGTGGACGCTCTGCATCAAATAATTGTGCTGAATATTTTTGCTTGCATTACAGTTTTATTATCATCGATCTCAAATTGAGTACATTCTCTATACACCATCAACAATCACATCGTAGTACTGAAATTCACTTTAATCTTTTGGAATTTCCACGATTTTTTTTTTAATAAAATCATACTTCATCCAAATTCGAAGTGGAGCAGAATGAGCTGAATAATAAGTGTAAATTAAAAAAAAAAATTAATAGCATTCGCATTTTTTAATTATTGGAGTGCATCTTCATTGTTATCCAAAATTATAATTATTAACTACGTGCTGAAGAAAAGGTCGATTTTCAATCGAAAATGCATGATTCATTGTTTTGCCTAATACTTCCATTGATTGTGGTCGTACAATGTGAGACGATTCATTTTACAAATTCACCATCGCATTTGGTGGGCTCAAAAAATATCACCTCTTATAAATTATTAGTGAAAAATTCGGATCCAATAACGATTATCGAAGCAAACAAAGAAATAAAACAACGACCATACAACCGATATCCTGAAAATTATTATCCAAACGATCGTGTCGATGTGAATGTTGACGACAGTGTTGCCGATTCACCAATACGTGATTATCATGTGAAATTGATGGCCAATATGGGTGGATCGCATCAATTAGAACATACAAATACACAAAATGTTCATGGTTCTGTTGGATTCACAATAACTGGTGGCCCTTCAGGTCCATCAGGTGGCATGTCAACATTCAATTCAAATGAGTTCAAAAAAAGCGATCAAGACCATGACGGTGAATCGAGCAATATAAGCGCGAAAAAGGTGGTTTATTCGCCAATTTTATTGAAAAAATTCATGAAAGAATATGCGGACAAATTGAAAAATGCCGATGTTTCAACGAAAAATGAAATTCAAAAAATTCACGAAAAAATCCACGAACAACTGTCGAATCATGGAAATAAAAATACAAATGAAAATGAAAATTCCGAGCCACCGTTGGTGTTTGACAAATCAATTGAAGAAATGGAACAAAAGTATAATTTGAATAGTTATCATGATAGTTACGATGATGAACGAAACAATCGTTATAAAGACCGTGATGGTTGGGTAACTTTAGAAGCTGTGCCGTGGAGCAGCAGTACTGTTTCAAAGTGGCGTCCACATTCACATGGCATGATTGAAGACACTCGTAGAAGACCATCGGCAAATACGGCACGTCCATATAACAATAAACCCGATAAATTTCCATACCATGATGATTTCGATGATGATTATTACAATCGACCGAAACCAGGATATGTTGATCGAGATCGACCCGGTGTATATTCAGCATGGACAAAACCAAATTCGATGAATGATAATGGACGACCACGACCGCAACCATATCGATTTGGTGAATCGAGTTCGTTTGGTTCGCAAAATAAATACAACGATAGAGATCATCATTCGGCCAGACCGTGGAATAATGTTGGAGGTGATTTAATAACAGACAATCGTCCATCAGATTTTCCACCTGAATCGCATTATAATAATCATCATCATCAGGATGACGATCATTTTAATACGGCAACAAGTAATTTCCATGCATCATATGAGGATCGACCGAGCGAAAGTAATGGTGAGTGGGTGTTGATTTCAAAAACAAAAGGCTATCAAATGACTGGTGGCAATCGTCGCCAACATGGTAAACGTGCACTATCCACATCCAATACACAATCAAGCGTCATAGTCAATGTACCACAATCTATGCGTGTACATAAAGCAATCAAATTAACAGTTTTACCGGCATCAGATCCCGCTAAAAATAGTACATTTTCAACAGATCCAAAACGTAAACCAACCACAATTATTCATGGCGGAATGCTTGAAATTGACGCAACACATCAAAGCATTGAAGACGATGTTCGAGCCACAATGCAAGCTCAGAAGACACATTCAAATGGTAATAATCCAGTGAAACAATCGTCATCATCGCCGGCATCCAGTGAAAATAAAAATAAAACCCGAAAATTACTGAAAGGTAATTACAAGCTCGAAGAGCGATCCGCATAAAAATCAATCATTTTAATTTAATTGATGATGATTATTACATTCACGCACATTGAATTTTTGGTTGAAAATACTCACATTTCATCGATTCGTTTTGGAATTGCTGTAATTTTTGGATTGTGCACTATACTCACAGAAACGAAATTTTAATTAATAATAAAAACTGAACAATTCATTCGAAAACAAAATAAAGAAAAACTCAAGGCAAAATTTCATGCACCAACAAATCTGAAATCAAATGACAAACCAGAAAAATGACATGAATTCCCGCTTTTCAAGTGATCGCGACAAAAGACGGACCATACAAATCAGCAGAAATACTTGCCGCAGTGGGCGCTGGATTGCTGCCAGCTACTATGGCTATCATTGCTCCAATAGTATTTGGACGAAAACGTAGAAGTGTCGACAATTCAACCGAATTCCCATACCGGGAGTATACTCCATTGTACTTAGAGTACAATCCAATATCTCAACCAATCTTCATGTAGCGAACGCTACCAAAATCATCTCTCAATCAACATTCTAAGCTAGATGTTAATTTATTACAACGCTATCATGTTACATATCTATTTCTAATTTATTTATTTATTGGAAGATTTTTTTTCGTAGTAAATATGTTTTATTGATCTAAAAATCATTTTTTTATATTTACTTACCAAGCGCTCGATGAACTCCATTTTTTTGTTGTAAAAAGTTAATGCAACTTAAGAAACGAAACATCTATTGTAAAATGAATAAAAAAAACGATTTATAGTTTAATTTTGTGCACTTCTTTTTTATATAATACCCCCGACATTCCACGTTTAATTTTCAGATCATAAAGAGGAAGAAAAATGCAATGATCCATTCGAAGAACTTGAAGATAAGTGTGAATCTGTTGACATTCATAACACGTTTGTCTTTAATTATTACTAGAAAGCCACTGCGAAATCACGGCTTTCTGAGCAACAATCAAAAATAAGAGGTGTTACAATAAGCAATTGTTTTACGCAAGTATGTTTCTATTTTATTGCTGCATTGTATCGTTGTATTCTCATGGTAATAAATCAGCAGGCCAAATCTGAAAGAGAATCTAAAATGAATCGTTAATTTTAAAATAACTAAAGCGTAAGATTAAATAGCTTTTTTGATCAATCTCTAAGATTTTTTTTTTTTGCAAATGCCATAACTTGAATTTTTGTGGATTTGCACTTTAAAATGTCAAATTATAGCTATAGCTACCGTTTCGACGTAAAAAATCACAAAGTTATCCATAAATATTGTAGCTACATGTGATTTTTCATTAATTATGGCGTTTGCGAAAAAAAATCTGAGAGATGATCAAATATGACCAAGCCTCAGTATATTTATAAATAAATAGATTCGCCATCATTTAAGAAAAAAAGAGGAAAGTATGCTAATAAACTGATAAAAATAAACTGAAGTACATTTCGAGTTAAATTACGATGGAAAATCTTTAAGCAATCTCTTGTAATAAAATCCAATCAACAAAAAACACTGTCTTGCACATAACAAAATATAACAAATTGCTTTTTTTAAATTTCGAGTGATTTTCGTAAAATCGAACTGTAACGGATGAAGAACATTTGAGAACTGAGCTAATTTTATAACCTGCAAATGGACTTTCTAAAAAATTTCCGAATTCCGATTTATGTGCACATACAAACACCATCAAAATGATTGTACATTCATCACAATACACGCACATACAAACTCGCATCCCTACATCATCAGCACAGCTTTGGTTTATAACCGAAAAATTTCAAAAAAAAAATATTCCAATTCACACCTACTTCAACTTCAACCATCATCACACAATATCGAACGGGATGTATATATTATATCGAAGGCAACGGAGCGAGATGGATTTTTAAATAATATCCATCGTTGTGTGTTGTATGATTCTGTTTGTTGCGCATTTGTGTTTATGCATGTGGAAAGGACACGGAATCGAATATTATCGAAACGGCAAACAAACAAACAAATACAAAAAAATTGGCGCGCACTCAAAAGTGTTCAAGCAAAGCATTATGAATGTCACTAAAGATCGAAAAATTACCGGTGTAAGGATATATAAAACAAAAGTGGGAAAAGTGGTATCAGTTAAAATAAAGCGAGACCGATTGTATTTTTGCTATTTGTCCTTGTATGTGTTGGATTGGCTTCAATGTATTTGTAAACCATGGTGTATATAAATGAGTTAAACCACTTGAAAAATGGAAAAACAATTATTGCTGTTATTGTTATAGATTGAATTGTCACTGAATAAAATCACTCTGGCAACATTGTAGAGGGGGTATTTGCTCGAATTGTAATGGTATATATATGTAACATTGAACAAAAGATACAGCTTGCAGAATGAACATTCACAGTAGAAACCGGTTGAATTGGTGATCGAATCTGGTTTGTTCATTTGCATTTTGTAATAAAAACGTTCATCACATGAAATTCGAGGGTTTACTGTATCATTTCTTATGAGCTCGTTGTACAAATGAAGGGGATTTTCGACTATATATAAATAGATTTTGTATTATGAACAACAATATCAGTAACAAATTTTTAGCTCGTTCTGACCAATATGCAGAAGCACACATGCAATTGAAGAAACATTAACTTCTACAATGCCTAATTGAAGATGAACTACTGCGCCACTCGACTATGAATCCGTGAGACCAACGTAAATTTATTTATAATGCACAAGCTAACAAGTTTTACTGACGAATGTTGAGTTCTGTGTCCTCTTTGATCATACATGGGCACGAAAAAAAATTATGGGGCCACCAAAAACGGTTTTTTATTCGGAAAAAAAGTTACTCAAAAATCCCTAGCAAATTGAAGGAATTTTTCCCATCCCGCACAAATTTGAATGGCCAAGAATAGATTCGAAGTGTTGTTGTGGGAAAATCCTGAAGAATTGAAGAAATAAATCGCTCTCAGCAAAGGTGGGTAGTGCAGACGATTTAAGGGAGGGTTATCCGGGCTTACACCGCCTGTGCCCATGTATGACTTTGATCCAGACTATTTTTTAATGTTTTAACGAGAAAAAGGAAAGAAAAACTATTCGCAAATAAACTGCAGTATTCAATTCAAAACAGTCAACAAAGTTGGCGTACTGAAAAATGTATGGAAGCGACGACGCTCACATTTCGATTGACACAGAGAAACCGGAGGGCACAATGTAGATGTTTATTAATTTACAAGATTCGCGTATATAATTACCACTTAAGGCTAATGACTTTGAAAGTAGCGAAAATTACCGAAATTGATTGATTGAGACTTTTCGAAATGAGAAGTTTCCCTTTTCTTCTATCACAAATATTTTGAACAATTATGCGTTAGTTTCTATTATGTTGTTTCGACTTTTGGGATTTCAAAAACTTTACTTTCGTACGAAATGAATTAAAAATGAGCCATCAAGCATTTGAAACATTTTTCCACCGCATCCATTCGAATTTTGGCGATAGAAATGAATTTCATGCCGTTCGCCTCTCTCATGAAAACAACACAGTGTCTTTGGCTGTGACAAGTGGAAATAATATTTTCTTAGCAGCTTGTGAATCGTGGATAATTGAGGTTGTCACATGTGAATTCAATCTAAAATGACGTCGTCATAAATTCGAATCCGTGCTTTTGCAATGAGGGCGATAAAAATATATATACATTTTGAAGGTTGTTTACATTTAATCAAATATATCGCCTGCATTCTACCAACACGCTATTTGACTTCATTAGAAATTGGTTTGCACATTCAAAAAATTTAAAAATGTGGCTTCAAAAGAACTAAGAAATACGGATAAACATATCCTGATCTTAGTTTGGACCAACCTACCAACAAATAACATATACACACACACACACGATGCGATAATGAAAACGAATATGGCAAATGAAACAGAAACAACGATAGAAATGAAGCACAAAATATATTGGTCATTAGTTTGCGACTCTTTGTGTTCACACCACGTCCTTTTTTTTCTCTACTTCAATTTAGCCCACCCCAAAAATATGTGCTTATGCACGCAAACCAGCATTGAAAGTGAAAACAGCGATAAAGGCGCTTAACCAATACAAAATATATATTCAGAGGAAAAATACCAAACTCAAACCATCGACTGAATCGTCCATTGCCCATACATGATCCTATAAATTGAATATCTGTTTTATCTCTCGGTTTTCAATTTGCTTCGTGCGTCATTGTTTACCTACCCTCCAATAGAGACATAAACATTTGATTGACATTTCATTGTTTCTCGGAAACACTTTACGACCGATGCGTTTCGTTTTGCAAATGAATCTTTCTAAAAAATATATACACACTATAAACGCATGTATCTAGAACGTATTTTATACAGCGTCGCTATTGCAAGTGATGGACGATTTCATATTCATAGTATTATCATAGTCATTGCATATGCAAGGCTAATCAATGCAGTTGATGTACTTTTTAGCAAATATGCTACAAAGTATGCATTGCATTTTCTAGCACATTTTATCTTGATCATTGTCCCCGGCCTGCAAATGTTAATTTTGTTGACAGTGGGCGGTATTTTATGTTGTTACACATCGATGCATTTCATATTCGAAAATGGAAGCTTATAATAATGCTGCTGTTATTTGACGAATTATAATAATAATCCCTGGTTGCATTGTTATATATATTTGAGGATTTTCTTGATTTGCCTATTACGTGATAAATCATCGTTATTTCTTACAGGTGAAAATTGTCAACAGAGATTGAGATATGTGGCGAAATGTCTTTGGAAAAATACAAAAAGAAAATTATAAAAAATCTGCTTATTTTGTTGCACATTTGAAATAGAATATGTGCAGTTGTCAATTTAAACTTAAAAATACGAAAAGAATTTACAGTGCGCGTTGTACAACAAAATAAATTTCTACAAACCCAATCATTTTAACGTAAACACGCTTATTGTATGCAATTTTCCATGGGGGGATGCAAAAATTGAGTTTCGGTGATGATTGTGGATAAACCAATTGATTGACAATATCAAATGGTGATGCAAAGAGTATATGAATCGTTGCGGCAAATAATAGCTCTTATTTTTATCCCAAATAATACTGCAACATAATTTTTTTTTCATATGGATAAACAATGTTCATCGTCATTATGTCCAAATGGGGGCGTTCATTCGATGTATAGGTGGACACTTGGAGCTGTAACTCAAACAGCCCACCAAATCAATAAATAAAAGTTGTGAAAATGGTAACCTGAAAACGAGTTGGTTTTTAAGTTTGTGGGTGCTTATAATAAATAGGGGGGCAGATACGTGGAATAGGATTAGACTTTTAGTGTAAAGATTCGAGGAATTGCAATGAAATAGCAACGTCCGTGAATGGATTCGCGTGGAATAGCGAAAATTGTTTCGCTTCAAATCCATTTAACATTTCTTTTGACGTTTATTGATGGATTAGTGGAATAGTGCGGAATAGCAGAATTAGCATTTTTGACGGAAAAATAGTTTCGATTTCACATTTGTGTTTTTGGAATAGTAGAATAGGTGGATTAGTAATTTATATAGTGTATTCGGATTTTATTCTATGGTATCTCCCCCCTAGGTAAATCATGTGCGATAATTCTGAACAAATTATTTACATCTATTTATTATCCCTGCTCTGACTGAGCTCAGTGTTCATAATCA